CAATCGATCTCGGGGTTGAACAGCTTCAAGAAATCCCGCCCTAAGATGAAATATGAACCTTTGATGTTTGTGATCTGCAACGTCGGCTTCCACCTCAGCGCCCCTATGTGCAGCTGCACTGATGCTTCGCCGTGGATGGGAAGTTTCGTACCGTCCACCATCGTTGCCGTGAACTTGGTCTCCTCGGAAGGTTCCCCAATTTTCTCCAACGTCCCGCGGTCACACACTGAGTGAGATGCACCGCTGTCCACCAGTGCCTGGAGGCGTCGTCCTTTGCATAACACCTCGAGGAGTAGTGGTGCCTGCTGCGCTAAGTAGCCAAAGAGGGTCTCATTGATAGGATCATAGGGTACATAAAAATGAATGCCATCCCTATTTCCTATACCTGACTCAGCACTGTCCAACTTCACCTGGGGGGTAGGAGGATTTTTCCGAGGCTTGTACAACTTCTCAGGAGCCTGGAATTATCCTCTCAGCCTTTGCAGCCTCTTCCTGCCTGCATCCCTCTATCAGCGCACCTACAAGGCGGCAGGGCAGCAGCAGGGGGCCAGGAGGAGCAGTGGGAGCAGCGTGGTGAGCGGGAGAGGCGAGCGGTGGGATGCCGCACGGCCTGGGCTGGCCCTGCTGACCACTGCTGCCGAGTTGCTGGACTACTGCACGGAGGGCTGCTGCTGGCCGTGTCAAGATCCCTCTGCTCCTCATGCGACTGCTCGTCACCCGGCTAAGAGTTCCTCATACCCTGTCTTCTTCCTGCTTGTTCTCCTTTCTTCTTTCGCTTATCGAATCTTGCCCGAAACAAAAACGTTGCTTCTGCTTGGGAGGTATCAAAAGTTGACAGAGGGACATGGGCGGCGTGTGGCGATGGTAGCACATGGCACTGGGGCGGCTTGAGCTCACACTAGAGTCCTAGAGGGTTAGAATGCACTCACACTCACGCCCGCGTCTCGTCCCCCTTGCCTGCTAGCTCGCCAACCTAGTGCCATGAGCTACCATCGCCTACCCTTTCACTGTGCAACCTGTTGTTTAAAGCCAGGGTCTCATGTAAGCTAAGGAGCCATCGACTGCAAAGCACTTGAAGCTAGGTAACCAAGTTCGTGCTGGCGAAGTTGTCTCTGGTTGGGTTGGAAACTCAGCTTGCGTCACTGCCCCAAAAGCAATTGCACAACACTCATGGGTACTTGAGACTTTCGATGAGTTGGGGGCATTTTAGGTTTGGCTCCGAACCAAGTTTCCAAGCCTAGATGGTTCGGTTACCCCCAGCGATTTACGTTTGCTTCGCACCCCTCGCTTCACCCCACTTCGAACCTTACAACTCGCCAACCAATCAAAGCCACACTTTCACCATCAATTGCAAAGCACTTGTACTACGTGAGACCCTGGCTTTAACTTCCAGCTTTTACTCTCACAGTATTATGCCTCCGTTTTGTTTTCCTCCCCGTTATCCCTGCCGCTTTACAATTTGTCAATCACACCCATGCTTATCTTAGACTAACTTCTTCAATTCCTGCCCCCTTCTGCCTTCTCTCCTCTCTCCCACTCGCTCCTTTCCCTCTCCGACACTTCCCCCCTCTCGCACAGGGCTGTGGCAGCGTGATGCGGGGAGGGAGGGCGGTGGGATGACGCACGGCAGGCAGTCACGGCGGCGTGCGTGCCTCCTGCATGCCCTGCTGACCACGCCGCTCCCTCACGCGCGCAGCGACCTTGAGTGCTGCTGCTGGGAGTGTCGCTGCTGGGAGGGCTGCTGCTGGCATTAACAAGGCGACGAGCAGCTTCTCAATCCCGCTAAGTTCCCTCCTCAACCCTTGCCTTCCTTACCGCCGCTTTACATTGTAATTCGTGTTCACATTTGCTTAGCCTCTCTTTTGAAGCATGCTTCAAACCATAACGCCGCCTTCGCTTAAAGGTATTCAAATGTTCGCGTGGCGATGGTAGCACATGGCACTGGGGCGGCTTGAGCTCACACTAGAGTCCTAAATGGTTAGAATGCACTCACACTCACGCCCGCGTCTCGTCCCCCTTGCCTGCTAGCTCGCCAACCTAGTGCCATGAGCTACCATTGTCTCTCTGTTTTCATTGCATCCTTCCACCTGGGTTTCAGTTCTGAATTCTTCCAGTTTTGCCTTTTCTTCATTTGTCGCTTGTAATCATCTTTCTCTGCTTTATTCCATTCCTGGACCAGATTACGGCATCCTCTATCCTTTTTTCTCCCTCTCACCAGCCCATTCCCTGGTTCCAGGACAAAACGACTGCAACACTCAGGGGCATCCCTTCAAGAGCAACACTCCGAGAGCAACTCTTCAAGAGCCAACACTCGGAGAGCGAAACTCGACACAGATGTGGCCCATCCAGCCTCTGGTTCGACATCAGCACTTGTTTCGCATTCACGCATTCATCCGTTCTTGCTTTGATTAATACTCCTGTTTTCCCGTTGTGTCCTTCATTTGCATTTCCTCTCCCTGCCACTTTCACCTCCCCTACCTGCTCCCTCCACCCACTCCCTCTCTCTATCCATCTCAGTTAAGCAGCGTGAACTCAATTGGGGTGGAGGGGTGCAATGTTGCAGTGCCTGAGGGTGCTGCTGATGGCACAGCGCGGTGCCACTGGTGAGGGAGATGACTCGCTGCTCTGGTGAGAATCTTCATCTGGCGGGACTCGCTGCTCTGGTGAGAATCTTCATCTGGCGGGACTCGCTGCTCTGGTGAGAATCTTCATCTGGCGGGACTCGCTGCTCTGGTGAGAATCTTCATCTGGCGGGACTCGCTGCTCTGGTGAGAATCTTCATCTGGCGGGACTCGCTGCTCTGGTGAGAATCTTCATCTGGCGGGACTCGCTGCTCTGGTGAGAATCTTCATCTGGCGGAACTCGCTGCTCTGGTGAGAATCTTCACCTGGCGGAAATACAGGGCAGCGCCTAACTACAGGCTAACCCCACTCTGACTACAGGGCAGCGCCTAACTGCAGGTACGCTAACCCCACTCTGACTACAGGGCAGCGCCTAACTACAGGTACGCTAACCCCACTCTGACTACAGGGCAGCGCCTAACTACAGGTACGCTAACCCCACTCTGACTACAGGGCAGCGCCTAACTACAGGTACGCTAACCCCACTCTGACTACAGGGCAGCGCCTAACTACAGGTACGCTAACCCCACTCTGACTACAGGGCAGCGCCTAACTACAGGTACGCTAACCCCACTCTGACTACAGGGCAGCGCCTAACTACAGGTACGCTAACCCCACTCTGACTACAGGGCAGCGCCTAACTACAGGTACGCTAACCCCACTCTGACTACAGGGCAGCGCCTAACTACAGGTACGCTAACCCCACTCTGACTACAGGGCAGCGCCTAACTACAGGTACGCTAACCCCACTCTGACTACAGGGCAGCGCCTAACTACAGGTACGCTAACCCCACTCTGACTACAGGGCAGCGCCTAACTACAGGTACGCTAACCCCACTCTGACTACAGGGCAGCGCCTAACTACAGGTACGCTAACCCCACTCTGACTACAGGGCAGCGCCTAACTACAGGTACGCTAACCCCACTCTGACTACAGGGCAGCGCCTAACTACAGGTACGCTAACCCCACTCTGACTACAGGGCATTTTGAGGGGATAGGAGGGGTCAGTTTGATATCCTTTATCTGCTGTGTTCCTTGGTCTGTTATATAGTACAGGGTGCAGAATGCATGTCTTTGCTTGTCACCGTAACCTGTAGTTTGGAAATTATCGCTTATCGCACTGCTTGTTTATTGATTTAGGATAGAGAGCAGAGGAGGAGAGGCAGCAGAGGAGGAGAGGGAGTAGAGGAGGAGAAGCAGCAGACGAAGATACATGGAGAGGATAGGGAGCAGCGGACGATGCATGCAAAGGAGGAGAGGGCACTGAGGCGGAGGAGAGGGAGCAGAGGAGGTTACTGCTGCACACATGGTAAGGTTCGCCTTATGCTTTGATTCTATGGTTCTTTTTCCTTCATCTTGTTCTCGTTTCAACTTGTTTTCGGTTTCCCTGATCTCCTGACCTGAAGTTCTTCTCTCATACCAGCCTCTTCTCCTCCGTAGGCTGTTAGACTCTGGCTTTTGCTCTATCGTCCTCGTTCCTTCTTGTTCTCCTTGTTCTTCTCAGGTGTTCGGGAACAGAGGAGCACGTACGGGAGCAGGCAAGTGGGAGCAGATATGCAGGAGCAGATATGAGGGAGAAGACTGTGATGTGGTGAGTCTCCTCTGACAGATCCTCTTCCTTTGCGTTCGCTGTGGCCTGCTCTTCGGCTCTTCCTCTCCACTTTCATAACATTCCTTATTTCTCGGCTCTTCCCCTCCTCTTTCCTCACATGCCTATTTCCCTCGTGTTTCCTCCTTCAGAGGTGATTAGCAGCAGTGGACGGAACAACATATTGGCAGCAGCATTGGAGCACGAGGGTGCACGAGAATAGCACGTGCTTTGAGGCCTTTTCTTGTGGTGGGTTTCTGCTCCCACCCCTTTTCTCTTCTGCACCACACTTGCATGGCGCGCCAATACCCCTTCCAACATCGCACTTCTTGCCCGTGTCTCTTAGTATTTTATGCCTGTTTCTCTCTGTCTGACAACATAAATTCGCTGTGGCTGATTCGGTAACAAAATGGAACCATAAGCATTATCCTTTACCATCCACATGCCCGTGTCCTTGATCCTTTTTCTCTCACTGCTTTGTTTCTCTCATGTGCCCATCTCTCTCTCTCCCTGCTTCGTTTGGGGTGTGTTGCTGACATAACAGGGTTGGACTGGTGAGGCAGGGGTGGAGAGTAAGGTGGTGGAACCAAATGGAGTGGCCAGCAGATGACGAGCTCATTGTTTTCATATCATACATGATTCTAACATGTAGAGAAGATCTAATTATGTTTGCATTGCCTCCTCCTCTCGTTTGCTTGCAGACAATAGAACCAGCTCCGTGTGGAAGCCACGAAGGAAGATTAAGACCTTGCTAGAGCTGAAACTAATAGGATAGAATAGGTTATCTAGACTAGTAACCCTCTGAGATATGGTATCCCCCCCTCTCCCCTTGCATAGCCCCCCCACGCCCCTCCTCCCCTGTTCCTTCCCCACCGGACGCACCCACCTCAGCAACCCCCTGTGTAGGGCCTACCGTAACCACAGGGCTAACAACAGGGCAACAGGTCTAACCACAGGGCTAACAACAGGGCAACGGGTCTAATCACTGGGCTAACAACAGGGCTAACAACAGGGCAACAGGGCTAACCACAGGGCAGTACGGCTAACCACAGGGCTAACCACATAGCTATCAACAGGGCTAAGGACAGGGCTAACCACAGAGCTGTCAACAGGGACACAGAGCTAACCACAGGGTAACCACAGGTTTTATCACAGAGCTTAAGCCTATTGGCATACTAATCACAGGCTTGTGCACCAGAGCACACTGATCACAGAGCTGTGAATTGAGCATACTAACCACCAAGCTTGTGCTACAGGGCATACCAACCACATGGCTTATGCATACAGGCACATTATTATAGAGAATGTGCATTGGTCCCAGGACGTGCACACAAAAGGATAATGACAGAGCCTATGCAACAATGTGGTCAAACCACAGAAAACCGTCACAGGAGTGTGCATTGGAGTACACTAGGTTGAGAGGATCTACATAGGTGCATGCATGAAAGACACCAGTTGCAGGAAAGTTTCCCGCCTGTCACCCTGCCAGCCACCAACAAGAAAAAGAACAGCTCATCGTCCCAGCCACCAACAAACTTTAAGGGCGTAGTCCTATCCTCCTATCAAGAGAACGTCTTATCAAGCACACACTGAAAGATTCCCTAAACCCAAAATCTCTCGCTACTTTCAGCAGGCAAAAGGTACAATCTTGATAGGAGGTGGTCTTGATAGGAGGCCGTAGTAATACGCCCTTATAGAACAGCAGGGCGGCTTCCTTTCACCTACGGTACCGTACTCAGCAACATTGGTATGTACATGTACCTTTCAAGGCTGCAGATGTATACCCTAGTTCTGCTTCTCCCAGGATTCTATCATCCCACCATTGTACTGCACTGATAGAAGAAGAGTTGCACATGATGGCTATTTGTTTTTGTATGGTAGACTTCTTACTGCAATCCTAACTTCACCAACAACACCAAGCTGCTGCTGAGAAGCATATGTGGGAATAGGTGACTGCACGCCTGTTGAGACTTCCATCAGGACACCACAATAGAAGTGAATCTGCAAGATCAAAGCACCAAGTTAGTTATCATAAGTTACACGGACCATACCGGTAGATGCATGGAAGGTCGGCCACAATGTAACCTACTTTTCCATCAAAGGACCTGACTGGCGATACATGTAGTAGGTTCCAGAACTTCGAACCATCCTTTCTGCACAGGGTTTGAAAGTGCGGTAACTCATGAGCAAACAATCACCCACCAAGGAAAAACTGCAGCGCCCTTCCAGAATCAAGTACTTACCTGTAATTGAGGATATTTACAGAACATGACCTGCTCCCATGTATGGCCTCCCGAAGCTGTCACGCACAAAGTCCATGGCAGCATTGGATCATGCACGTTGCAAAAGAAATGCAAGCAGCATGCGCACGTATCACTAAGGTGTACAATATACAAGTGCATTACCGTACCTGTTGGACATGGTCCGGGTTAGTCTCTGGACCTTGAAGGAAGCGACAGTTTTTTCCCACCACTTCTTGCCAAGAATAACCTGGCAAACATACTTGTCTGTTAGCAATATAGGTATACGAGTAAGTTTTTGGAATCTTGAGTTGCATGTTCTGCACCTGTCATTCTTAAGAAGGGCTTGCTTGCATACACGATGGGATACTCTGAGTTTGTGGCATCTACCCTGCACAATTTCCACTTGTTAGCTGACAAAGCCAAATACGGAAACGAATGCACCTGATGCAGAGAAGGCCAACTCACAGTACAATGCATTGATGGATTCTTGCCAGCGATGTCTGAAGCGTTCCTGGAAGCTGAGGAACCGTGTCAACCGAAGTGCCTGCAGTCTCAGGACCTGCATTTCTCTGAGCGGGTAACGAGCTCTGAAGGAGCTCACAAAAAGAGGCCCACTTATTCGAAGCAAGCTCGGCTGATAGGCGAGCAAGCGACTCATATTCTTGAAAACGCGGGCCATCATCTGCAATGCCGCATACAGAACAAACGAGGTAGCTGGCGTTAACAGTCCATTCTTCAGATTGGACCCACTTCTCAATTTTCATAATCGTGGAATACCGCGAGCTAGGTAGCAATTGCAAGCCTGATGGAAGCTAGGCAACACTATCCTAGCGCGACGGGCATACGAGTCAGTCACAAAATGAAGTTATCAGCAACCAGACTGCGCACCATTTTGGCCGATTTGTGCAAGACCAGCACCTGCATCGACAAGAGATGGGCTCTGTCCAGAAGCCAATGTTGTTGTGGCCTCCTCAGAAGCTTCAAACCGAGCAGGCAAACAAGTCTGCACGCCAATGTAATGCTCGAGCACATGTTTCGGACCCATATGAACAGGAGTTATGTGGAAAAGGTTCCAGAATGGAGTACCGTTCTTCGTATAGTTCAAAATCTGAACCTGGCATGACACTTCATTCCTGCACAAACGAATAATTTCCGGACGGCAGGTGTCAGAATATGGAAGACGGCAGGTGTCAGAATCTGGAAGGATAATAAGATACGACAACCCTGTCACCGACCTAATAGCATCACGTATCTTCACAACTGCTCCCCTATCAGTCCCCGGACCCTGAAGGAATCTGCAATTTCGTCCAAGCACCTCCTTACGGGTGTAACCTGTTAGTTCGAGAAAGGCATCGCTGACATATACTATGGGATTGTCCTGCTGTTTAGGGTCCGTGACCACAAAACTGACATTCACGTCTTTGAGAGCGCAGAGACGCCTCGAAGCGCTCTCTTCCGACATGGTCTTCGCCAGCTGATTCACGGAAAAGCTAAGAGCACGTAAAAAACTACCCTGTATGTGGAAAGTAAGATCGTTTCTCTCAGCTCACTCGAGAGAACTGTGCCGTTCCCCAGACAAGGTACAAATCGCAGGAGTGAGGCGAGGGTGACTTGAAGGGGAAATTTGTGGTTGGAAAGGCGAAACACTTGCCACATCGCCAAAAAAGCACCGTATTCGTGACGTCACGTAGGCGCTTTCAGATTCAGCACAAATAGTTGTACACCCAGGATAAATACTACGTTAGCAATAACAGAAATAACCTGATTCAGGCCATTATGCTGTCAAGTTGAGCTAAACTAGATTTCTTTAACAAAATTAACGCTGTCAATTGGCTACGAATCTGCAAGCGGGCATTGCGATGCCAACACCGTAGGGGTGTTTATTAGGGTAAAGTAAACAGGTACGAATGGAGCCACGATCAGTTAAAATGCCCGCATACCCATGCTTCTGGGAAAAAGAAAGATCCTCCGTCATGCCAGTACGGCAGAAAGGACCAAAGTAACCTCATGTTGCCGCTGGCGCTTCATCTTCCTTCTTATCCTCATGCATTCGAACAACCACAACAGGGCAGTCACCTGAAACACAAAGAATTGAAAGCATTTACCTGAAAGGGTCTGCAGATAATATGAGCAATCGTAGAACCAGGAAATAAAGGATTGCAGGACTTACAGTGGTGGACACAGTAGTCACTGACACTGCCCAGGCGTGCCTTCCTTGACCGCTTCTCTGCACCAAACCCTCGGCTTCCCATGATGCAGGCATTGACCCCAGCTCGCTCCACCTGTGATCAGCCAAAGAGGAGTTGCACTGACATTCGAGCCGTGCAAGCAAATGCAAATAGCTGCACAGATAGTATCAACCAGTTTTAGCGACATGCAATCTGTGATGTGTTGAAACGCGTGAAGCACTCGTATCCAGCATACCTCAAGGCAGATACGCTCTTTCATGTCATGATCTTTCACAATGTGGGTCTTGTACTGTATTCCAGCCTCTTCCAATGGAGCGGCAAGATCCTTCGCCTTGGCAACGGTCAGCGCATCGAAATCGTCCTCCATTTTCTGCTTCGTCTCCTTATCAGGAGCTTCCTCTGTTGTTTCCGATGCACCCCAATCCGCACCATATAACACGGAGGTGGGACGAACATGTAACAGCACCACCTGATACACAACACAACGCCAGTTCACAGACCAGCGATGCGAGGCAGAACAGTTCATACTTTTTATATATTTCCCGGTGGTATGACGCTAGCTTTTTTTTTTTTACGTCAGATTACCCATCAATTCGAGTCTCGAGGATTATCTTTCCGAGCTTCCGTGCTGCGTCCTTTCCCGTAACACGTTGAACAAAAAACTCACATGGTCTGAAGGTCGCAGGTAGTTCTTGACAGCCCACTTGACCGCGTGAGCGCTTTCATCGCTCAAATCCACGGCTATTGCTATCTTTCGTGCTGGCTCCATGACTCCGCCTCCGTCTTTAACCTCAACCACTTCCGGGGATCGCTGTCGCTTCTTCGCGCCCCTTGGGCCTACCTCTGGAGCCTCTGAAGCCGCCACGTCGGCGAGTGCACAAGACTATCTGATGACAATGTTCCAAAGAAAGGTCGTCCTTCGAATAAGCGGAGCCAGCTACCGTACACGCCACAAAGAACCCTACCCGAAACTGGGGAATGAAATTGTTTGGTGCAGTGGGTTTGCCCTCGCTGGCGCCTGGTCAACTAATGTGTTTCCTATGTTGTGACTTCATAAATGGTGGAATTAGTGGAGAAATGGCTTTTCGTGTTTGCGATTCCGTTTGGTTGAGGCTGGCTGCCTCGCTTGCCAGCATTCGTTTCCAAGTTGGATTACCTTTGGACTGTACCAGCTTTTTCGCCAGGCAGACTCGGAAACAGTGCACACCCACATCGCCAGTTCGTTACGTTTCCATTCCATGCTGCAGTGGACAAAAGCTCGGCCATGTCATGATGGGACTTTCAATCTCTTAGCCAAAGACGCGTGGCAGATTAGATGCCCTAAAGTACACTTGTGCTGACAACTTTTGTAGATGCTATATATTTCTATATGTTGCACCAACCTTCATGTTCAGTTCAAGCTTGAAGCTTCAGACGGTTGAAGAGAATGAGAAAGTGCCTCTCAGGTAATGAGAAAACAAAGCCCAGCTCAGCACCATTTGTGTGGCGAGAACCCTGCCGTTCAACAAGCAAATCAACAAACATCAGGATCAGTCATTGGGCATGGGTATTATGTCTGAATGATCGGATGAAATCGAAGGAGCATGGCGGGCAGGTGTACGGCTTGATGAAAGCACAGTTGTACGAGGCAGGGGAAGGGAGGATTGAGACGAGTTACCTTTCCATCGAAAACAAGCAGTTCGCCGTCCACCCAACGGGGGTTTTTGAAACCTGGCTCTGCCAGCTGACCCTGGCCAGGGTACCTAGCAACCTGAAATGACACAAGGCACAAAAACACACTATGGCATACCCGTCAGGACGGCAAAAATCGCGTCCTATATGTAAGAAATGACTCTGCACACATGTCGTAAAGGCACTGAAGGACGCAGACAAATTTAGACTGAAAAGAGGTGCTTTGCCCCACTTGGTACAGCCCAGAAAAAAACAAAATATAAGCTGCCAGATAGGAGCTGGATGCTCGAATCGATGGATTAATTCGTGGTGGGCTCCTCCTGAGAAAAGAAACCCACACAGGGAACAGCCCGTGAACAAAGGGATGCAGCGTGCAGTGACTCACCACACCCAGCTCATCAGGGTACACCCCTCGGAACGGCATCTGCCAATGCCGCCTGATCTTAGCTCGAAAAGACACCTGCGGGCAAACACACGCACTCCACGCTTATGTAGAGCAGTACCAACATCACTAGTCAGGCAAGAGCTCAAACCACAGACCAGCAACACAACAGCACCCGGAAATCTCAGCGTCACACCACAACTCGAGAAAAAACAAAGAATATAAACTTTCAAGCTAATAGCAGCCAAATAAACTTAACACTATAGCTGAAGTCCCCGTCCCAGCAGAGGTATGGTCACAAGAGTATTACCTTCCCAGCAGGCACATTGAAGTCGCCTGTGAGCTTCACCCCCTCCACGTACTCAAACGGCGGCACCAGTGCCCGCTCGCCCTGCCTCTTCCTCCCCCCAACCCTCTCCCCTGCCTTCCCAGCCTGGCTCTCCTGCTCTTCCCCCTCTGGCTCCTCCCACGTGCCGAACCTACGCCTGACCTGAATAGCCTCGGAAGTGTACGGACCATACGCACCCACGTACAATCCTAAGGGTGTACGTGGTGAAAAGGGGAGAGACAACCAGGGGTAAATTTTAGTGGGGGTGTGCAAACCGAAACGCAACAACCCGTGAAGCAGCAGGAGAGAGTTCCAGAGCGTTTCAGAACCCAGGAAAACGTTACAGACAGAAACAGAGGCTTATGGGCTCAGAACAAAAGGTGCATATACCAGCAAAGGGGTCGGTGGAGGCATCGGCGGCATGGATGCGGGTGAAGGCGGTGGTGCGGGGCAGCGTGTAGCGCCTCCTCTGCACGTGCTGCACTGCCGTGCGGATCAGCTGTGCTACGTCCTTGTCCTTGAACACCTCCTGGCAAGATGATGGTGATGGTGAGGGCAGGATAGGGGACAACGGATAAAGGGGAAACAGGTACAGCATGCATAGGGCATAGATCAGCTGTGCCACGTCCTTGTCCTTGAACACCTCCTGGCCATGGGGATGGTGATGATGAGAACCACACAGGGCCGAGGCCGGACGAATAATGCGCACGTCAGAATTCACAAACGGCAGAAAGATGGAGGAATGGAGGAGCGAGGATAGAATGCAGGAGAGGGGTGATATCGTTGGGAAGGGTCTTACGGGTCCTGAGAAGCGGTCGACGCCCCACAGCTGCTTCGCCACATCCTCCGGCATCAGGTTGGCCGCTGCCCTCGTTGCTGCTGACGCCAGCCGCTCACTCACCGCTGCCGCCACCGCTGCTGACTGCGATGAGGAGGAAGGGGAAGAGGAGGGAGATTGGGACGCTGCTGGGTCAGTGGCAGATGTTCCCGTGCTGCCGCTGCTGCTGCTAGCTGCATCCCCGTCACCCTCGCTGTCCTCCACGGTGAGCACGAATGCGTCCTTGCCTCGCCACTCTATCCTCGCAGGCACCTTGCTCACGCTCTCCCCCGCGCCATCCCCCGGGAACACGCCGCCCACCACCACGCGCACGGCAATGCCCTGCCGCCCCTCTGCATCCTCCGATCCTTCCTCACCGTCGCTCCGCTCCGCCCCGCCTTCTCCCTGCCCACCACCAACTCCCCCCCTGCCTCCACTGCTTCCTTCTCTGTCCAGCCCACCTGAATCTTCGTTCCTGCCTGATTCTCCTCGGCTGCTGCTGCTGCTGCTGCTGCTGCTGTTGCTGCTGTCACTGGCACTAGAATTCCTACTATCACCTGAGCCCTCGCCGAGCATCCCGTTTCTCTCTCGGAACGCCCTCAGTCGCCTCAAGTCCCGCTCTGGCAGCTGACTGGCACGCCTTGGGTCGTCCGCTCCGCCGACCCTGCTCCCTGCTCCTGTACCTGCTCCTGCTGACTGTACAGACTGCGCTGCAGCCTCTCCCACTTCAACTGCCTCACTAACGCCTCCATCAGCTTCAGGAGTCACACTACTGGGTCCCTGCACTCTGCTCTCCCCTTCACTCGTGTCACCCCTGCCTGGAACAATCCCTTCACTCGCATCGTCGCTTCCATCTGCTCGTTTCAGCCCCTCACCAACCTCTACGCCATCACCTGCATCACTGTCACTTCCAGAACCCCCCTCCTTTGCTCCCTCGCCCGCTGCTGCTGACGCTGCTGCCTCCCCCGCTGCAGCAGCAGCTGCAGACTCCCTGTCCCTCGCTATCCGCTTCACCACATCCTCTACTATTCGTGGAATATCTGCAGTTCCCGCCGCGCCCGACCCGTCTGGCGCTGCCACGTCAGCAGGGGACACCACCGGGAAGACCCGCAGCTTCACGTCTGGTAACCGCTCTCGGAAGAAATCGAGGACCCGCGATAAGCTATCGTCGGCGCCGGGTGGGAGAGACGAGGGGGGAGAGGAGGCAGAGGAGGCAGAGGAAGGGGAGGAGGGAGGGAAGGAGGCAGCGGAGGGAGAGGGAGGAGGGGTGGGTGGGACTGGTGAAGGTGAAGCCTGGCCTGAGGCTGGATCTGCAGGGGATTGAGATGAAATGCCTCCCTTCTCCCCTGCTCCTGCCCCTGTGCCTGGATCACCCACTTTGCCTTCCTCTGCTGTTTGCTTCTTTCCCCAGCTGAACGACACAGCATCCTGAACCCTTTGCACGCTGGATGGTGGCGTGGATGGCGCGGACGCGGATGTTGATGATGATGGGGATGAAGACGAGGGGGCAGCATCGGAAGCGCTGCTGCTGTTCGAAGCAGAGGTGCTTGGCGGAGGGTTTGTGGTGGTGGTGGAAGCGCCTTTGGCCTGCATGGTGGCTGTCTCATGGTGGAGGTACACGGCCTGCACAGGTAGTGGAGAAGAGAAACAGGGCCGGGGGGAAGAAGGAATTGGGTTGAAACGGCACAATCATGCATGCAGGCTAGTAGTGGTTCACGCTCTTCACCTCACAGTAGCATTCGTTTTACAGCATCAAGTGAAATGCACATTTCTGCGGTGCCAAAGATAGATGTGCAGTCGAAACAGCATAGCGCGCACCTGGCGGTCGTATCGCTTGGGGTTGGCGGCATTGCGAGCCACATAGACCTCGAAGATGGGAATGCCCTGCCCTGCCACGGACAGCTGCCTGCCAACATCACACAGACACAACCACAAACGTGCAAGGTACGGAGGGAATCCTTGAACTGGCGGATGCAAGAACATAAGCGCACGTCGGCAATATTCCCATCCATGTGCCCATCTGCTCACGTTCACATGCATGGTCACGGAACCATGCATGGCAACATGAATGGAAGGTTGTTTTTGAGGCTTCTCAAGAACAACCTTTTGTAATGGGGTCATGCATGGCGGCTTACTTGGCAGTGTACGACTTGGCGAGCAGCTTGCCGTGCTGCTGTGACACGTGCACCAGCCGCCCAAAGGGGTCTGCTGACCCACTCTCGTCCAGGCCCGCCCACCACCCCACCTGCACGCACATGCAGAGAGAGCATGAGCCCAGCACATGCAGAGAGAGCATGAGCCCAGCACATGCAGAGAGAGCATGAGCCCAGCACATGGCACATCACGTCCTCGAGCTCCCCGTTCACGCATCACATTCCTGGTGGCGCTGCAATCTTCTTCGTCTTTGCCTTGGCATCTTCTGAGACGTCTCAAACATGCAATCTTCTTCGTCTTTGCCTTGGCATCTGACGATGTCTTTCAGGCAGTCTATGAACTGCTTGCCCTCGTTTGATCCGTGATCCTTGCCCTGATAACAGACCAGCCTGGGTTCTTTCCCTCCCAGGTCACATGTGCTGCTCGCACTCACCAGGCCAGCCCCAGCATCGTCGCGAAGGTGTTTGGCATCGCCGTACCTCTCCTCCGCCACTGCCGCCTGCTTGCCGGGCGCAGAGGGGCGAGAGAGAGCAGGGAGGTCAGAGGGGAACCAGGCAGGGGAACGCGAATGAGTGGAGAGAGGGGAAAGGCACGGGGAAAACGAGGCAGGAAAGCCGGGCAGGGAAGCAGGGCATGAAAACGGGACAGGGAGGTCAGCGAGGATAGGAGAAACAGCCATGTGTTGGCACCTTGAGCTCTCTGAAAACGGCAGCCATGGCGTCTTGGTCCTCCACCGCGCGGATGGCGGCCTGCAGCTTGGCGGCTGCCGTGAAGTCCTCGTCTCCCACCAGGTCGTCCAGTTGAAACTGCACAGACAGAGGGGTGTAGGTGCGGGTGAGTCCATGAGGGTGCGAGGAAGACAGAGAACGTCTTGATTCAAAAGGCTGCAGCGAAGTCCTCGTCGCCCACCAGGTCGTCCAGTTGGAACTGCGCAGACAGAGGAAGGTAGGTGAGTCACCCACAGGGCGAGAACACGAGAACGAGAGTGCGTGCCAGCACGAGAGCAAGCGAATAGCAGGAGAGCAGGAGAGGGGTGTGAGAGAAGGAGAGGAGAGGAGAGGAGAGCAGGAGAGAAGGGTCGAAAAACGAATCAATCTTAGCGTGTTTCCTGTCCCCACCTGCAGACTCGTCAGCATGGCTTCTCGCTCCTCCACCTCTCCAAACACCCTCTCCCACCGTTGCCACGCCGTCTCCCCGCTCCCATCATCCCCCTCCACCTCCTCACCCCTCAATCCAACCGCTTCCTGACCAAACCCCCCTGCACCCCCGACCAGGCTTGTCTTATCGAAATAGTCTTGCAGCCGTTGGGCTGCCACGGCCACCATTCCCTTGAAAGGATCGCTTCCGGATTTCGCGGCAGCGGCTGCTTCTTCTATCCGTTGCAAGCGCTCCTTGGCGCGGTCTGACAAGCTGCTGAGCCGCGAGGATGGCTCGTCGGATTCATCTGACGGATTTGCCTCAGGTTCAGGCTCCTTGGCGAGGTATTTGCTCACGGATGCGTCGCTGGAATCATCTGGTTGACGACCCTTGGAGTTGGACTCGTTCGGATTGGACAGCTTGCCGATTGGCGAATCTGCTTGTGTTTCGCCAAGCTTGTCGCCTGAGAATGTATCATCCGGGGTTTGAGAGGACTCGGGGAAAGAGTCGTCCGATGGGCCAAGCTTGGACGAGCAGCGAGCAGGCTGTGCTGTGACATGCTTCTGAATGAGCCCTATCTGACGGAAACGGGTTCGTGAGCATGGTGAGAGGAATTCCGAGCGAAATAAATGGCGCTGAGGGGGCGAAGTTCGGAACGAGCGTTGGTTGCTTAGACGGCCTGATGGACGAATAGACAACGATGGTAGTCCAAGCGAAAATTTCCGAAACGACTGTGACTGTGAGGTAGGCCGGAGTACACGCGAAGGTACTAGCTTCAAGCTGCGAGGCCTAAGAAGCAAGGGAGCGTCTAGCGTAAACATGGCGAACCGTAAGCAGCAGTAGTTGTCCTAACGCCGACGGAGCACAATGGTGATGAGTTTCCTTGTCCTAATCCACAATGCGTGGCGAAGTATCTGGACGATATTTTGAGCGTCGAACTTCCTTACTGCACGATAGTCAGAGAAATGTCAGGCAGCGAGCCATCAGTGATCAACCCTGCTGAGATGATTTCAGCCCATTCTGCCCTGGAGTTGCGACACACACTCAGGTAACCGTTTCGCTGCCAAAACGCCAGTGCCTCGCAAATCCCCCCCCTAGAGAGTCATGCCAAACAGCAGCTGCCCCGAGGCTTTTGGATTTTTGCTGTTGAGGCTCGGCTCACGTGAGTGCTTTTTGCAGGTAGCCACGGAGGTGGCTCACAGCTTCGGGTTAACCAATCAGACCGACGTGGTGCTCTTGACAAGCCGAGTCAGCCTACTCTGACTCGAAGTTTGTGAACCTGCCCAAGCAGAAACGAAGCCAGTGCTCAACGGCCACGTGTTCTCGACCAATAATAGCCACTCGGAGCACCTGTTGGTCAGGTGAACATAGCTGGCGATTCGGTTCGGAGAGCCTCGCCTTCACATTCTCCCCACTGGTCTCCACCCCGCCAAGTATATTCTCATTCTGCCATGGCGGCTGTTTTGGAATTTGCTTCCTTCATATTCCCTCGACTTATTCCACCTCTCCGGAAGCTTTGAGCCTGCATTTGAGAATTATTTTCCCACTCTCGTGAAACACCATGTTCACTATCTCGACGTCCGAAGTCGCCATTTCCCAGCTTCACTCCCTGACCTCAACTCAATTCTTACGTTCACATAAACCGATAAATAGCACTTCAAACAGCTTTTTCCCGCCATGCAAACAACCACCTTTCAACCCCAGGCGTCCTCTCCGTCGCAGCTGCGCCGCTGCAGCAGCAGATAACCAGGCGAGTGAAGCGGAAGTGACGGAGATCAACGTGTGCGTGGGGAAGACCTGTCGCAAGGACGGCGGGTTGCAGACGCTGGACCACTTCCGCGGCCTCGCGCCGCCGCACGTGAATGTTGACTCGTGTGGATGCTTGGGTGAGATGACAGTTCGTTTCGTGGCGTATGACGCATGGCGTGAAGGAGATGTCTGGATACAGATGAAGCAGCAAAACCACTCACTTCTCTCCAATTTTTTGGCAGTTCTTCGCGTAAAACTGTGAGCTCTTGCTGGTCATGACGCACGGTCAGGCAACATTGACCGGCACTTCTATCTTCCTGACCCCTCCTTACAATCACAGGGCGGTGCGGAGCAGGCCCCAATCTGGTGCTGCTGCCGTCGCAGACGATCATCCGGCACTGCAGCACGGCGGCGCACGCGGCACGGCTGCTGGAGAGGCAGTGCGCGGGGGGCAGCGCGGAGACGAATCTTGCAGCTCTGGAGTTGAAGGGTCGCGGCAATGCAGCTTTTGAGAAGGGACGAGCGGACGAGGCTGAGATGCTCTTCACCCAGGTGAGTGCGCTGGGAGATGGAAGGGGTGTGGGGGAGGAGGGTGAGGAGGAGGGAGCTAGGGGTGTCTGATTATCTTTCAATGCTGCTAGTTCTCCCTTCTTCTTCCTCACCGCGTTTGGCCTCTCCCGGCCGCATCTCTCGCAGGCCATTGAATTGGTGCCTGTTGGGGGAATACACAACCTGCTCTGCAACAGGTGAGTAGTGCAATGCTGGCCTGAAAGGCTCCTGTCGGCAATGCAGACCCTTTTCATATATATTCCTGGTTTGTGGTGTCTTTTCTGTGCCAGATGATTGAGCCTGAGCATTCCTTCCTGTGCAATGTACTACTGCATGTGCTGTATCCCCATGCAACTGAAGATCTGCTGCAAGGGTGGCATGTGGTAACCCAATGGGAGCACTGGAAGACGCTGAAGCTGCGGCAGCACTCAAGCCTGGTTGGTCCTCGGTAAGCCCTGCCTTACCCCTTCTTCCCATGCCTGAACGCAATAGGGCTCCTGTGCCACCCACCTGTGCCACCCACCTGTGCCACCCACCTGTGCCACCCACCTGTGCCGCCCACCTGTGCCACCCACCTGTGCCACCCACCTGTGTCACCCACCTGTGCCACCCACCTGTGCCACCCACCTGTGTCACCCACCTGTGCCACCCACCTGTGACACCCACCTGTGCCACCATCCTCCTCAGCTTGCTTGTTATTCCCTATCCCCCTCCTGTTTCCCCATCACCTTCGTTCTCCAAACCCTCAGGCAGTGATTCGAAGAGGAGAGGCGCTGGCAGCGCTGGGGCGGGTGAGGGAGGCCCTGGAGGTATATGAGAGGCTGGCCGACACAGACGCTGAATTCAGGCGCTCCAAACAGTTCCTGGTAAGCCGGGTGTCTGTCTGCCTGCCCACAGCTTTGCACCAGTGCGAGATGATCTGTGTTTGCACCTACTGCAAGGTGAAGGGTTGCGTGTTCCTGGCGCAGCTCTTTTAACCCGCTCCTCTGTGCCATTTGTGCTGTGCAGCGGAAAGTGAAGGAGCTGGAGAAAAGGAAGGAGAGAGCAGCATGATTTGCTGTGCATGACAAGGTCGACCAGCCGCGACAACCTGTGCCCCATTACTGCCAAAGCGTGCAGCAAGTATAATATGGGCTTCTGGTTTTGTGACCTTGACAAACATGTAGATTAGGTAGTACCGTGCGAAATGTAGCAACTTGGTAAAAGTCAATAGGAACTCAATACTCCCAGCGATGTACAGTGTAACAGCCATGCATCGTATTTTCCTCCCTCTGGAGGACAGTCTTTCACGGGAAAATATGCCACAAGTAACGAACATGGGACTCGATAACGTGACTGGTAAAAAATAAACACGTACGGTAACTGTATCGGGTTTCCTGACGGGTCTGGTAAGGGGGGTCACGGATTCAGTCACTAACAACAGGTAAAAAATCACGCGAATGGTCATACCGTATTCTCCCGGATAAAACACCCCCCCGTAATTGTACACCCCCGGGTAACTAATACGGGGTGGGTGTTATATCCGACCCCGTTTGTACTATACCCCCCCTTTTGGGGTGATTTTCTATAACACCCCCCTTTTCTTATAGATTCCTATTATAGCTGTTATCGAGTCCGATTCCTTACGGGAGGATATCGCGAGAATTGCTCCCTAGGTGAAATTTTGCGTGTACTTTCACTTAAATCTGCCAAGATTTCCCCCCTCCCACAATCTCGCTGTCGCCACGCTGGCGAATCTTCCGCTGCAAGTGGCGCAATAGGTGAAAATCACCTTCTTACATGAGGCACAGACACGTGACCAAACCAGTCAAGAAGTGACTGGTATAGTAAGAACGCACCACCGTGCGCGATTCTGGCCTCGGCGGTTGCATGAACCCTCGCCACGCAATTGGCTTTGTTTTCACCCTATCAAGTGCCAAAATTGCCCACTCGAATATGCCACGTGGCAGATTCCAGTGGGCGGTCACGTTATCCTCGTATACTCGGTTTTGCCGCACTGGTCAACAATCTTGAAGTGAAGTCAGACACCTGATTTTGTTTCACATCTTTTCTACTTGATAAAAAATATACCATATAATAAGACCCGGGTATTATGTAGGATTTTCCTTTGAGGAGACCCCCCCCCATTTTTTCCCAGTGGTTTTCATAATACCCTAGGTTGTTTTATCCGGGAGAATACGGTACATGAAACTCCCGCAAAAAAATAATGAAACTCTACAACATTCCCGCTCGCGCCCAGCTAATCAGCGAATTTCAAAAAAATCTAAAACCCAATCGGAATTGAATGCGATTCGGGAGCGGATCAACCCTAAACACCTGGCGAATTATGTTTAGGGTTGATTCTTCCGAAAATGCATCCAGGTTCGTTTTGGGTATTATTTTTTTTGGGCGGGAGTTACATCTGTGACCATTCGCGTTATTTTTTCCCAGTTGATTGTGACTAATTCCGTGAAACGTTTTATCAACCGCGTGAAAACACCCTTTGCAGTGACCGTACCCTTTATTTTTGTATCAAAAATGTTATCGAGTCCCATACTGGTTACGAATGACATATTTCCCCGTCTTTCACACAAATGATTGGAGTACTGTGCACTGTAATGTTTGTAGAGGAAAAATAGCTATCAGGCTGCCAGCTGGAAAGCAAAATGTTACCTACAAAATGTATGTAGATATGTGTTTCCATAAATAACATACCAGCATGGCTCCAACCACGGCACCTCCCTGCTCTGAGCACTTCCCCTTACGATCTCTAGCACACCCCGTTGGTCTTGGCAATGCTGTTCTTCTTGAACACCCTGAAGGTGCGCTGGCGCAGCGCAGACGAGTCCATTGAGTGGCTGTGCTCCAGCTTACTGGGGGGCATCAGCCGTGTGCCTGCCAGCGGCGACAGCACATACAACTCATCCGCTGCCAGGTCACGTGCCAGCTTGGATCCAGGCTTGGGAACCTCTACTGTATTGGGCTTATGTTCGGGCACCGAGGCAACCGCAGCAGCAGCGGCCTCAGCCGTGGATTTGGTGCGGGGCATACCCACGCCCCTGTCCTCCAGCATCTTTACTGTCATGCGCAGGTCGTTCAGGAAGCGATCCGCAAGCGAGCGAGAGAAGTCCTCTCGGACGAGAGCGCGCAACATTGTAACGTGTTCAAGATCAGGTGCCATGGTGTAGGCGGGGATGATCCACCCGAACTGCTTCAGCACATCAGCAATGTCATACTCGTTGAAATTGCTATTCTTCTCCTTAAGAGCGAAGGTGACGAGTGGCACACCAACATCCTTGGAGAGGATCTCAAAGCACCCCATGTCCTCGATGGCCTTCTTCAGATACATGGCGTTCGTCTGGCAGTTGCCTATGATCTTGCGGTAGCCCTGTGCATGGCAGCGGGGTTTTGGGGGGGTTGGAAGGTGTGGGTAGTGGGACGGATGGGAAGGATAGGGAAAGGATGTTAAGGGGGGGAGGGGGAGGGGGGTGGGAAGGGCTAGAGCGAGAAGACAGGTGCGGGGGACAGACATGCCAACACGACGGGTTCTTTATAACTAGCCCAAGCAGTTAAAACTAGCAGTGTTTGCCAAGTTTCGTACATTCAAACGATCGATCAGAGCTCACCTCAAAGCCAAGGCGGACAAACTGGTAATACTGTGCGATCAGCTGGCTGGAGCCTGCATTAGGAAATGCGGGTGTGCGAGAGTGAAATGGGGGTTGCAAGTGAATGCGTGTTTGATTCACGTGGGATCACGGATGCGTGGAAGGAAATACGAAGAGAGGAAAAAACTGTAGTAGGGAACAGTACATTTTTCAGCTAGTTGGTTCTGTGGGATGATACTGCTGCTCACACTAGATTATTCCCCCCCTTATCCCCGAATTTTCCCAACTAAACTTCCGATTCCTCACCCATCATCCCATCTCAGCGCACCTTTGGAGAAGTTGAGCGTGAAGGTGGGCTGGTCAGCGCCCAGGTAGTTGACGTGGAAGATGAGGTCCTCGGGGAGGTCGGCCTTGCTGCGCCACACCACCCACCCCACGCCGGGGTACACGAGCCCGTACTTGTGCCCGCTCACGTTGATGGACCGCACCGTGGGCAGCCGGAAGTCCCACTCCAGCTCCGGCCACAGGAACGGCGCCACGAACCCCCCGCTCGCCGCGTCCACGTGGATCGGCGTGTCCCACCTGTAATGTGCGGAGAGGGTGCGGGGGAGAGGGAAGGGGAATAAGGGGAGGCAGGAGCGCTGGAATGAAAGAGGGAAAGTGACTCCAAGTAGGGGAAGATGTCACTAGCTGCACATTGGTTACTAACGGCCATTGATCTAAAATGAGTATCCAATTACTTTTTTTAAAAGCTGCTTACCCCGTCTTGGCATTCTTCTCCATGAGAAGATCGTTCAGGAGCTTGATGTCCTCAAATTCCCCGTTATAGGTGGACCCGAGAATGCCACAGATGCAGATGGTGTTTTCGTCAACAGCCTCCACGGCATCGTGCGGGTCCATCACGAACGACCCTTCCTTCACATTCACGAACTTGGTCTCCACCTCGAAGTAATTAGAAAACTTCTCCCAGCACACCTGAATATGGATCGAATCGGCAAACGCGAAAACGGTAGAGGGTATAGGGGTGCAAGGGAAGACGTAAAATGGTTTGGAAACGTGAGACGCAAACTTGCAAAAGAAATAAAGATCAGAAACAGCATTCAGCAATTTTATAAACAATGTAGTTTACCTGGACTTCAGAGCCGCAGACGAAGTTGGGCTTATCGTACGGCTTCCCCTGCGCCTTGCGCTTCTCCTGCCACTTGCGCTTGAACGCGAGTCCCGCCAGCATGATTGCCTCTGACGACCCCACGCACCCCGCGCCGATCGCGCCCTCTCCGTCCCCAAGAGGTGCGTTGAATAGATTCGCGATAATATTCACGCAGCGCTCCTGCAAATGAGAAAAATAAAAGACATGAGAATAAATGTTGAGAAAACATTGTACGGCAAAAAAAGAAGCACACTTGCCAGCCATTTGACAGGAATGCGGACCTGGAGTTCATTGGTGACTGGGTACTCCTCAATGTTGATGTAATTCTTGTTAAGGGACTCCATAATGAGCTGGTCGCACTCAGGCTCCATCCATGTCGTCACGAACGACGCCAGATTGAGCCGCGGGTTGCAATCCAGCAGCAGCTCGTCGTGAATCATCTGATAAGCCGCCTCCTTGGGGATACCTTCCTTGGGAATCTGATACCTGCAGTATTGCAAAATGCGGGTTTCTTAGAATAGTTTTAGAATATTTTCACTACGGTGGTCTCGCAATGTGAAAGATGGAAAGTGACTTTCCGCTGGCAACAGCATTTTCCATTAAAAAACCTTGCGTGGATGCAGGAGAAAAGAGAAACTTTACTTGGGAACGCTCGCAGATGTGTAACGCGAGGCGAAGACCGACTCGACGACATGGTCCTCGCCAGCACCAGTCGTTGTGTGAAGCATGGCTGCAGACGATAAGGACACGCTCCTTGCAGGAACGAGGATTAACAGCTCGAAATAGGAAGCTGGTACCGTGAAAAATACAGCAGAGAACTCTCGGTACACACGAGTGAGGTGAACGCGTGTCTTGAAATGCAACCTCTTCACAAACTCAAGAAAATGGCGACATAACACAAACCAAGGTTTCAACCCTCCCTGCTTGATTGGAATTCGGTTGGTTTGGGGACGGCAGGATGGTGCAAAATACTGGTTCAACATTGTGATTGGTTCGGCATTACCTAGGGAATTACCTTACCTCTCAAATTTAGGTTTGGTGACTTGGTTGAGATTTACCACAGGCTCGGCACAGGTGACCCTGCATTCACCATGCCCTGATGCTCGACAAACTGCCCGGTCAGCTGTGGGTTTCATTGGACCACGCTATGGCCCGATGAAAAAGGGCAGAAACCCAAATCGCCAAAAAACAACCACAGACTGCGCTCAAGAATCAGAGAGGCTGACCTAGCATTCGGTGTGTTGAAAAGGTATGATTGGGGGCTCGCAAGTCTGGGAAGCGGGAATCACGGATACAGAACAGATATATCTCTTTGAGCCCGCTCATAATCGCAGCTGGACACGTGGCTATATGAACCGTACACCTTCTTAATTGACAAATTATAAATTGCACAAAAACGGGAATATGGGAATGCTCACAGCTCAGTGATTCCAGCTACCTGTATCTCATGCATACAAGATCTTGATTTCATAGATAACACAATTTCATATACAGCACCACAATGTCATGCGCAATATGATGGGAAACATGCAAGCATTGCATCAGCCACAGCAGTTTCATGCTCTGCGTGCTTCCCCTCCACCATCGGTGCTTCTAGCACACCCCATTAGTCTTGGCAATGCTGTTCTTCTTAAAAACCCTGAAGGTGCGCTGGCGCAGCGCAGATGTGTCCATTGAGTGGCTGTGCTCCAGCTTATTGGGCGGCATCAGCCGCGTGCCCGCCAGCGGCGACAGCACATATCCCTCGTCCGCATCCAGGTTCCGTGCGAGCCTGGACTTTGGCTTGGGGGCTTCCCCTGCCACGGGCGCCTCCTCAGGGATGGAAGAAACTGCAGGAGCAGCAGCAGTGGGGGCTGCCGGAGTGACTGTGCGTGGAGCGGTGGTGGCCCGGTCCTCCAGCATCTTCACTGTCATGCGCAGGTCATTCAGAAAGCGGTCGGCAAGCGAGCGAGAGAAGTCCTCTCGGACGAGAGCGCGGAGCATTGTAACGTGCTCGAGGTCAGGGGCCATGGTGTAGGCAGGGATGATCCACCCAAACTGTTTCAGCATGTCAGCAATGTCATACTCGTTAAACGAGCCATCCTTTTCCTTGAGTGCAAAGGTGACAAGGGGCACACCAACGTCCTTGGAGAGGATGTCAAAGCACCCCATGTCCTCGATGGCCTTCTTTAGGTACATGGCGTTCGTCTGGCAATTGCCTATGATCTTGCGGTAACCCTGTCGAGAGAATGGTTGGAGATGTGGGAAAAGATGGGATTGAAAGGATACAGAACTTTCAGGAGGTGGAAAGGATTACAGGGAGAAGATGGAGAATGAGGGACGGGAATAGGACCCTTTGACAAAATTCTGTAGAAACAAACCGAATTATGGTGGAAGCAAAAACTCTCACCTCAAAGCCGAGGCGGACGAACTGATAGTATTGTGCGATCAGCTGGCTGGAACCTGCATTACGAAAGGAGGGCAGAAAAGGGGAGGCTTACTACAAGTGAATGCGCGTTCGTTCCAGGTGCGATCATGAGTGATCAAAGGATCGCCGGAAAGCAATATGATGTGAGAAGCAGGGAGGGTTGCGAGGTGCATCTTTCAACAAGTTGGTCACGTTCCTGGGCCGCCGGCTTACTACATCAGTCAACCCACCCAGACCTGAAGCGCAGCATTCCCATACACCAAGCCGCATCCACCATGACAGCATCCCAGTTATCCCCAGCCATCATGGCACCAGAGCACACCTTTGGAGAAGTTGAGCGTGAAGGTGGGCTGGTCCGCGCCCAGGTAGTTGACGTGGAAGATGAGGTCCTCGGGGAGGTCGGCCTTGCTGCGCCACACCACCCACCCCACGCCGGGGTACACGAGCCCGTACTTGTGCCCGCTCACGTTGATGGACCGCACCGTGGGCAGCCGGAAGTCCCACTCCAGCTCCGGCCACAGAAACGGCGCCACAAACCCCCCGCTCGCCGCATCCACGTGAATCGGCGTGTCCCACCCGGTTTTGGCATTCTTTTCCACAAGAAGATCGTTCAGAAGCTTGATGTCCTCAAATTCCCCGTTATAGGTGGATCCGAGAATGCCACAGATGCAGATGGTGTTTTCGTCAACAGCCTCCACGGCATCGTGCGGGTCCATCACGAATGACCCTTCCTTCACATTCACGAACTTGGTCTCCACCCCGAAGTAATTAGAAAACTTCTCCCAGCACACCTGAATTCGGATACACCGACAAGTGAGAGTTCGTTAATTGTTCAATTTTGCAACCGTCAACGTGGAATCCATTAGAAATACCAACTGAAACGTATAAGCAGAGTAGATTACCTGGACTTCGGAACCGCATATGAAGTTGGGCTTATCGTACGGCAACCCCTGTGCCTTGCGCTTCTCCTGCCACTTGCGCTTGAACGCGAGTCCCGCCAGCATAATTGCCTCCGACGACCCCACGCACCCCGCGCCAATCGCGCCTTCCCCGTCCCCAAGAGGCGCGTTGTAAAGATTCGCAATGATGTTCACGCAGCGCTCCTGCATGCGAGCAACAATCAAAAGCACAATGGTAAGAAAACATGACAAGAAGCAAAATTTTGAGTTCTTGGCGAACATTGCGAACCTGGAGTTCGTTGGTAACCGGGTACTCTTCGATGTTGATGTAATTCTTATTGAGCGACTCCATGACGAGCTGGTCGCACTCGGGTTCCATCCACGTGGTCACAAACGACGCCAGGTTGAGCCGCGGATTGCAATCCAGCAGCAGCTCGTCGTGAATCATCTGATACGCCGCCTCCTTGGGAATACCCTCCTTGGGAATGTGGTACCTGCAGGAGTGGAAATTGCAAATACGAAATAATGTCAGAGTTGAGAATCCAAAAGCGAGGGTTTCTAAATCATTGTGTACCACGCTTTCGCGAGTGTGGTAGGAGTGTGACAAGTCGCTGGCGTCCATCCGTGCACGTAGGGAAAAGAAGGAATCTTTACTTGGGAACACTCGCAGAAGTGTAACGCGACGCGAAGACGGACTCGACGACATGGTCGTCATCACCAGCACCAACACCAGCAGTTGTATGTGAGAAGAAACAAGAGTGGATGAACTATGAATGAAGTGGGTACAAGTACTAACCCTAATTGGGTTGTACCCCCTATGGGATGCCCCACTACAGCCTACACAAAAGTGTATGCTATAACGTTCTGACACACCCCCATAGGCAAAGTGGGGGAGAACAAGGGGTCACAAGACCAGTCAAGCAAAGCAAAGCAAGGCAAGCTCAGGGTGGATCACAACGTCACCACACATTCTGAGCACAAGTTCAAGGCCAGAAGGCCAGTTCACATGCAGGAGTACATATATATATAGATAAGGCTAGACAAGCAAGAGCAGGTATATATATATGTAACAGTACAAGCAAGGTCAAGGGGTGAGCAAGTGAGGCAAGACAGGGACAAGACCCAGCTGAGTGCAGAAGCGCTGATGATCACAAGGCGGAAGAGCCTTGGTGAAGACATCAGCAGTGTTGGCCTCAGAGGCCACGTACGCAAGCCGCAACTGACCACGCTGCTGTAGCTCACGAGCAAGGAAGTAGCGAAGAGCAATGTGCTTAGTTCTGTGCTCCAGTCTCTGCTCTCGACACAAGGCCAGCATGGCCTTGTTGTCTACGTACAGGACTGGAGGAGAACGAGGCGGCTCTCCAAGGTCGGTCAGCAGGTAGGCGAGCCAGCGAAGCTCCTGGGCAGCCATGGCCCCAGCGTAGATCTCAGCCTCACAACTGGAGCCGAGAACAGAAGACGAGCGAGTAGCCCGCCACGAAACAGAGCCGGAACCGAGGCTGAAAGTGTAACCCTGTGACGACCGCTGCGTAGCCTGGTCGTCAGCCCAAGAAGCGTCCGCGTGCCCAGTGAGGACCACTGGACTCCGCCCTCCAAGCACTAGCCCCATGCCCGACGTACTGCACAAGTAGCGCAACACCCTCTTCGCAGCAGCCATGTGCTCTGGTCGGTGTCTCCCAGGAGCAACATAGCGTGCAAGAATGCTAAGAGGGTATGCAAGGTCAGGTCGTGTGCAGGTCATCAGGTACATGAGGCAGCCAACAAGCTCTGGATACGGGCCACTCGACTCTACGGACTCATCCGAAGGCAGAGCTGAGAGTGAGTGGCGAGTAGGCAGAGGAGTGGCCTGAGGCGAGGAGTACGTGAAGCCGAAGCGCTGAAGGACCTGCTGCACCATGTGTGACTGAGTCAGGGTAATGGTGCGGCGTGCTCTGTCCCGGGTGATCTGCAAGCCAAGGTAGCTGCGCAGTTCACCCAGGTCTGTGCACGTGTGTCTCTTCTGCAGCTCGGACGTCACGTGGGCGAGTCCAGTAGTGTCAGCTGTGGCAAAGACTAAGTCGTCGACGTACACGAGGATGTAGAACGGCGGCAGAGAGGTGTCGGTGCGTAGAAACAGCGACGGGTCGGCAGTAGAAGGAGCAAACCCAAGAGCCGCAAGCGTAGTCCTCAGTGTGTCGTGCCACTCACGTGGCGCCTGGCGGAGACCGTAGACTGGACGCCGGAGACTCCACTGGGTACCAGGAGGGAAAGACCCAGTGAAGCCAGGTGGGCGGCGCAGCCAGATCTCCTCGTGCAGGCTGCCCTGCAAGAAAGCAGTGCTGAAGTCGAGAGAGTGCAGCTCGTAGTCACGGTGAGCAGCAACGTGTAGCAGTACCCGAAGAGTGGTCATCTTCGGGGTGGGGGAGAAGGTCTGAAAGTAGTCAACTCCCTGCCGCTGACTGAAGCCACGAGCCACGTAACGAGCCTTGAAGACAGGCGGAGAACCCGGCGGCCGCTTCACCCTGAAGATCCACATGCCACTGACGATGTTCGCCCCAGGAGGGGGGACAGCGTCAACGTAGGTGCCTGTGGACTTCCAGGAAGCCATCTCTGCATCCATAGCTGCCTGCCACTGAGAGGAGTAGGGACCCTCTATCGCCTCCGCGTAAGAGCGCGGAGTCGGGATGTCAAGTGCATCCGGGTCTCCCTCAGGGGTAAGCAGTACGGACACGAGATGAGGTGAAGCAGCTGCCAGACACTGGAACTCCTCCTGCCTGTCCTCAAGGACGTCCGTGCCAAGGGCACACTCACCCCCGACGGACGGAGGACAGACAGACTCAGACTCAGCAACAAGACTAGCAGCGTAGTCTAGGCGACAGCGAGCAGCAAAGTCGACGAGCTCAGCAACTAGGGCAGACGCAGCAGTAGACTCGAAAGAAGGGTCAGTGACGACAGTAGCAAGGAGACGCGTGACAGTAGGACTGGCAGCACGAAGAGAGTCCGACTCCGGGTCGGGAAGAGCAGGAAGGGAGGACTCAGGAGGAGAAGGCAAAGGGGCACGCAGAGGAGCAGTGGACGGACGCAGAGACATCCGGTGCGTGTCAGGGACAGGAGGAGGACGCGGACGCGAACCACGACCACTAGCGCGAGCAGTACGGACAGGCGACGCAGGGCGAGACGCAGGCTCACGACGCTCAGTAAGACCTCCAGTAGGACCAGTGTAGGGAGAAGGAGCAGGCAAAGGGGAGGTAGGCTGTAGCTGTGACTGCGACGGGACAGGCTGTGGACCCTCCAAGGGAGGAGGAGGACCAGCAGAAGGCGGAAGACCAAGAACCTGCTGCAGGAGTGGAACGAAGTACGGTCGAGGCCGCGTAGCGACGCCAGAAACAGCAGGGACAGCACCAGTACCCCCAGTAGGAGCACCCGCTCCAGCAGCACCTCCAGCAGCTCCACCAGTGGTAGCCGCAGCGCCAACACCCTCAGCAGCACCAGCTGCAGTCGAACCTGCAGGCCCAGCAGCTCCAGTACTCCCAGTACGAGCACCTCCGGGACCCGCAACAGCAGCACCCTCAGTAGCCGAAGAACCTCCAGCACCAGCAGCACGGCTCCAGCGCCGGGCAAACCACTCGCGCAGCTCGTGTGGAGAGAGTGGCTCCCGACGAGACGAAGCACGCGGAGAACCTCCAGGCGGAGGACCTCCAGGCTCAGCACCCCCAGACCCAGCACCCCCAGGCGTAGCACCCCCACACTCAGCACCCCCAGGCTCAGCACCCCCAGGCTCAGCACCCCCAGGCGTAGCACCCCCAGACTCAGCACCCCCAGGCTCAGCACCTCCAGGCTCAGCACCCCCAGGCTCAGCACCCCTAGGCTCAGCACCCTCAGCAGCACCAGAGTCACCAGTGACCTCGACAGGCTCGACTGCGTCTACCTGGGACACACCTGAAGGGGCAGGACCCTGAGGGGGGAGGGGGTCTACCGGGGGGGGACCTGGTACAAGGAAGAGCGGGGGCGGGGGGAGGGACGGAGTGCGGTAGGGGAAGAGGCGGTAGTAGGGAACCGACTCGTCGAACGTGACGTCCTGGGAGGACAGAACACGGCGAGAGGTGGGGTGGTAGAACTGCCACCCAGGCGCGTCGGGGGGGAACCCCAGGAAGACGCAAGGAGCAGCACGAGGGGACAGCTTGTCCGCAGACAAGTCGCGGACAAACGCCCGAGATCCCCAGACCCGGAACGCCGACGCATCGCCAACCTTCCCCGTCCACAGTAAGGCTGGGGAGGTCTCCGGCGTGGAGACCCTGGGGTGAAGGTTGATCTGATGCGCCGCGTACCTCACCGCAAACGGCCACAGAAAATGGGGGGCAGCCGCATGCATCATAGACGTACGAGCGACGTCCATGACCATGCCAATGCGGCGCTCAGCAATCCCATTTTGCTGCGGAGAGTCCGGAAGCGTGAAGGTCTGACGGATGCCTCGTGCACGACAGTAGGCTCGAAGAAGGCCAGAGGAGAACTCCCCGCCTCTGTCCGAGTGCAGACGCAGAACAGGAAAGTCGGAGCCAAAGCTCTGCCTGAGCTGGAGACGAGCTGCGCGGATCCAGTCGATCAGCACCTCAGTGACATCACCCTTGCTGCGCAAGGGGAAGACTGCGGTGTAACGCGAGTAGTCGTCAACAACGAGTAGGAAGTAGCGCTCGTGACCCTGCCCACGGACGCGGGCTGGGCCCCACACGTCCATGTGAAGCGTCTGCAACGGGGCCTCTGTCGGAGGAAACTGGGAGGAGTGAGGGGCAGCACGCTGGCGCCCCTCGACACAGGGGACACAGGTAGGGCCAGGGCCCTGAGGAAGGGGAGGGAGGGACCGGGGGAGACCAGACACTAGAAGACGGGAGGCCATGCCTCTGAGCCGAAGCAGAGAGGGGTGACCAAGACGGTGATGCCAGAGGAGAGTCTCGTGAGACAGGAGACGACACGAACAGGGGGCAGACTCAGGACCAGACCTGGACGCTCCAGCAAACACCCGACCCGACGAAGCGACTCTACCAGACCCAGTAACGGGAGGAGACGCAGTGGTCAGTGTGTACAGGCTCGACCCCGGCTGACGGGTAAACGTAGCCAGGTGTCGGCCTGTGCTAGCCTCTGTACAGTGCGTCACCTGCTGACGCGCAGGAGTGAACTGGTGTACACCCGCATCCTGGAGGTCAGCACCACTCACCAGGTTCGTAGAGAACGAGGGGAGGTAGAGACCAGACAGGGTGCCAGAGGGAGCCGCCGGACACGGGAGGACTGTGGAGAAGCGAGACAGGACAGGACCCCCAGAGGGGTCAGCCAGAGACACTGCAACCGGCCGACTCAGCGGTGTGAGTGTGGTGCAGTCCCGAAAGAAGGAGCGAGACGCCCCAGAGTCAAGGGTGAAGGTGAGGGAGGCCGAAGCCGACGTAGTACCTGAGAGCGCAGACTCACCAGTACCTGAGGACGCGGACACACGGGCACCTAGAGCAGCAGCCTCACCAGGACCTAGCGCAGCAGTCTCAATGCCCGGATCGGGCGGGAAACACCGGTAACAGTCACCCTCATCACTAATAGACACAGCATACATGGCAGAGAGAATAGCATCAAAGTCAAGATCATAGATGGCAACACCCGCCCTGGACAGCTCGCCCCAGCGAGGGATCTCTGAGGCCTCCGGGAACTGGTGACGCCACGCGTCCGTCAGGCGGCCAAAGCAGCGCTGGGTGGGGTGGGCACCCCCACACTGCTCACCCGCACGGTCGCCGGTGCGCAAAACGTAGGAGCACGGACCAAAACCCCCACCCCGCTGACGCGCAGTGTACCACTCACGAAGTTGCTGAGGGGACAGGGTGTCACGACCACGCTGCTGCTGCTGGCGCGAGCCACCACCGGAGCCACTCCTCTGCGAAGACCCGCGACCAGCACCACCGCCACCCCCGCCGCCTCCGCCGCCTCCGCCGCCTCCGCTACTGCCGCCGCCTCCGCCTCCGCCTCGACCGCCGCCTCCTCCGCCTCCACCGCCGCCTCCTCCGCCACCTCCGCTCCCACCGCCACCCCCACTCCCCCCACTGCCGCCACCTCCACCTCCACCGCCCCCGCTCGCTCCTCCAGCGCCCTTGCCCCCCTTGCCCTTGCCAGAGCGGCGTCTCCCGCTAGGGGCAGACGCCACACCGACCGACTCAAGACCAAGGAGGTCGGCCGCAGCAGCAGAGGCAACAGAGGGCAGAAGGGGGGAGGGGGAACACCCCTCAAAGATGGGGGTGCGCGGGTCACCACGAGAGGCCCCTACAGCGACTATGCTCTTCTCGGCCGCTAGGAGGGACTTCTCGAGGAGGTCAACAGTGAGAGTGGTGGGACAGACAGAGAGAAAGTGGTCCCTGACTACGCGAAGGGAGTCAGGAAGGCGAGTGACTATGTAGTAAAGAGTGATGTACATGGGGGGGGGGTTCTTGGCGCAGAAATCAGGAGGGAGTGCAGCGCGGTAGCGAGTGTCACTAGTGCGGAGGTGCGTAATGAGGTCAGCGACTGTGGGAAAGGCAGCAAGGTCAGGAAAGAGGTACGGTAGCATGAGACGGCTCAGTGCAGCAGTGGCAGGGGAGGAGTAGCGCGCAACTACAGCGTCGTACAAGGTCTGAGCACTCTTGTACTGACTAAAGTGCGCACGCTCGGAGGTAGGGAGGTGGCGACGCACAGCAAGACGTGCAGCAGCGTCGCGCGTGGCCCACTGGGAGCGAACAGTGGCGTCAGCATCAGCAGCAGGGGCAGTGGAGGCGCCAGAGGTGAGGTCAAAGAGAGAGAGGCCGTCTGCCCTATCGCACTGTAAGAACAGCTGCAGGTCATCTACCCAGACCTCAAAGTCAATGGCCCGACCCTCACCGTCAAAGACGAGAACACTAGGGGTAGCCATGACCCTAGACGACTAGCAGCGCAAACAGTAGGGTGAGGGCAGTGCAGTGAAAAGGCGCTGTGCTCACCAGACTGGGCAGGTCGGGCGGCCCGGAAGGAGGGCGGCGCGGCGGCTCGGCGGCTCAGCTGCTGGGCGGCTCGGCGGGTCGGCGGCTCGGCTGCTGGGCGGCTCGGCTGCTGGGCGGCTCGGCTGCTGGGCGGCTCGGCTGCTGGGCGGCTCGGCTGCTGGGCGGCTCGGCTGCTGGGCGGCTCGGCTGCTGGGCGGCTCGGCTGCAGGGCGGCTCGGCTGCCGGGCGGCTCGGCTGCTGGGCGGCTCGGCTGCTCTGCTGTCGGGCGGCTCGGTTGTGCTGCTGAAGGGCGGCACGGCGGTCAGCTGCTCGGCCGGGTGAGACGGCTCGGGCGGCTAGGGTGGCGGGCGGCGCTGCAGCAGGTGACGGGGCCGAGAGCGAGGTGGCGGGGCCGCAGATAGGGTGGCGGGGCCGCCGAGTGAGGCAGCGGGGCCGCTAGGTAGGGCGGCGGGGCCGCTAGGTAGGGCGGCGGGGCCGCAGGTAGGGTAGGGCGGCGACGAGCCAGGCGGCGACGGGCCGGGACAGGCGGCGCACGGGCCACAACGGGCGGCGACGGGCCGGGGGAGGCGGCGCACGGGCCGCGACGGGCGGCGACGGGCGGCAACGGGCCGGGCGGCGACGGGCCGCGACGAGCGGCGACGGGCCGGGACAGGCGGCGCACGGGCCGCGTCGGGCCGCGTCAGGTGGCGACGGGCCGGGACAGGCGGCGCAGGGGCCGCGTCGCACGGGACGGGCGGCTCACGTGGCCGGGGCGGGCGTCAAAAGGGCGGCGGGCGAGCCGCGTAGGGTGGCGACGGGCCGCTAAGGGCGGCGACGGCCGAGCAAGGGCGGCTCGAGGGAGGCCGCGACGGTAGAGAGAGGACCCGAGGCGCGACTCGGGCCTAAGCGGAGCGCGCTTCGGGCAGAAAAAAAAAAATTCGATGGTGGGCCCTAGGATCAGTTCCCACTAGGGAACCTGCTCGATACCATGAGAAGAAACAAGAGTGGATGAACTATGAATGAAGTGGGTACAAGTACTAACCCTAATTGGGTTGTACCCCCTATGGGATGCCCCACTACAGCCTACACAAAAGTGTATGCTATAACGTTCTGACAGTATGAAGCATGGCTGCTGACGATCAAGACACGCTTCTTGCAGGAATGAGGATCGGTGAAGCAGCCAGCAGTAGGAAGCTTGTGTGCTGAGCGACAGCGCAGGTTCACAGGCGAAGAGAATGGCGTTGCTTGAAATGTGAGCTCTTGGCTCCAATAGAAATCGTGGCTTTCCTGATGTCTGAAATTCCCTCCCAGTACACATAGAGATTGGCATGGGACTATGGGAAAGATAAGAAAAACAGCCCAATCAGGTTCGTTCGACAACATCTGGGTTGCACGAGCCTGGTTTGGTTGCAATGTTTCGTGAAAAGGAATTCGGCTTGAACTCGGTTCGGGTGGCCGATACTTGAGGGAGTGAAGTGGCGGTCATTAAAGCTCGCGTCTCCAATTTCCAAGCGTTTAATACTTGGTTGGGTTTGCAGGGATGGGATTGGGTGACGAACGACGAAATTTGTGACGAGAATGTGAAACAAATAAAGCGAACTCCAAAACAGCCGAGGCCAAGACAAACCAAGGTGGTCAGGTTTGGAATGTGGACGAGCCTAAGGGGACAGGATTCGCCCAGATCAAGCCCTGAACGACCCACCTCGACGACTACAGCATGTCGCACGAAAACAAAACTGAAGTGTCTCAAACAGAGTGCAAACTCAACCAATTCTAGGGTCCCGTCACTGAGCACCTTCCCAACCGCCACAGAAACAAGGTATGCATTCGAGAGCACGCTATTATTAGGGACGGGCAGAGATAGGTTAGGGATAGGCGAGGTAAGAGTAAGGATGGGCGGAATGAGGGGCGAAAGAGCGGAATGCGATAAGTAATTGCGATATGAGAGCGTCAAGTGCGGAACGAAAATATAAAGGGCGAAATGAGATGACGACGGCGGAACGCGAGTCAGAGAGGCGGAATGGTCCCGCATGACGGGCGGAAATATGTGTATACGTGTTGAATGGGAAGAAAAAGGGAGGAAAGGGAGGATGAAGGGCGGAATGACAATAGGGAGCGCGAAACCGTCGTAGCAACGGCGGAATGAGAGTAGGAACGGCGGAATGAGAAAAGGGACGGCGAAAAAAGAGAAGGGCTTAGTGGAATGAGAGTAGGACCGGTGTAACTAGAGGGTGAACGGCAGAAAAAGACCTTGAACGGCTAGAACCAGTAGATGAACGGCGAAATGAGATGATGAATGGCGGATTATAGTAGGGATGTGCGGAAGGAGTGGATGAATGGCGGCATGGGAGAAGGGATGTGCAGTGTGAACTCGGAATGACGGGCGGAAAGGCGATAGAGGGCGGAATGACGGGCGGAAAGGCGATAGAGGGCGGAATGACGGGCGGAAAGGCGATAGAGGGCGGAATGACGGGCGGAAAGGCGATAGAGGGCGGAATGACGGGCGGAAAGGCGATAGAGGGCGGAATGACGGGCGGAAAGGCGATAGAGGGCGGAATGACGGGCGGAAAGGCGATAGAGGGCGGAATGACGGGCGGAAAGGCGATAGAGGGCGGAATGACGGGCGGAAAGGCGATAGAGGGCGGAATGACGGGCGGAAAGGCGATAGAGGGCGGAATGACGGGCGGAAAGGCGATAGAGGGCGGAATGGGAGGGGGAGATGGTGGAAGAGGGCGGAATGACGGGTGAAATGGCGTCATAGTGCGGAATGGGAAGCGGAGTGGCGAGAGAGGGAGGTTTTGCTGGGCTGAAAGGCAGCCCTTGGAAGTAGGCGAGTCGGGATGACATGCGAGGGCAGAAAGGGAGGGGGAAAGGCGGTAGCGGGCGGAATGGGAGGCGGCATGGGAGGCGGACAGGCGGTAGAGGGCGGAATGGGGGGGTGGAATGGCGATAGAGGGCGGAATGGGAGGGGGAAAGGCGGTATAGACCAGAATGAGATGCAAAATGGCGGGTCCGGGAGGAATGAGATGGCTTTACATGTAAGGTTGGGCGAGGCGGAAAGGCATACTGAAATCGAGAACGAAAAACACGTTACGACAGAATGGGAGGCGGAAAGGCGGTAGATGGCGGAATGGGAGGAGGTTTTGTGAGGCGGCGCGAGAGGGGTATAGGGTAGGAGAAGACCACGGAACGAGCTGTTGTCCAATAACGGGGACGGACGTTGCGCTCATGTGGGAAGAGATATATTGCTGTAAGGGGAAAGGAGGAGTGGTGAGTGGGGGAATGGAGGTGGTGCTATAGGGGGAATGGAGGTGAGGAAAGGAACGGAGGTGAGGTGAGAGGGGGGAGGGTTGTAAGGTCGGGGGGGAAAAGGAGGTGAGGTCAGAGGGGGGAGGGATGTCAGGACGGGGGGGGGGAGGGAGGTTATGCTATAGGGGGAAGGGAGGTGAGTTCAGTGGGGGAAGGGAGGTGAGGTCAGATGGGGAAGGGAGGTGAGGTCAGATGGGGAATGGAGGTAAGGTCAGAGGGGGAAGGGAGGTTATGCCATAAGGGGGAGGGAGGGTGGTTCCGTGGGGGAAGGGAGGTGATGTCAGAGGGGGGAGGGCTGTAAGGTCAGGGGGGGAAGGGACGTGAGGTCAGATGGGAAAGGGAGGTGGGGTCAGAGGGGGGATGGAGGTAACGTCAGAGGGGGGAGGGATGTGAGATCAGAGGGGGGAGGGATGTGAGGTCAGAGGCAGGAGGTAGGTAAGGTCAGAGATGGGAGGGAGGCAAGGTCAGATTGGGGAGTGATGTGAGGCCAGAGGGGGGAATGGAAGGTGAGGGCAGAGGGTGGAGGGAGGTGAGGTCAGATGGGGGAGGGAGGTATGGTCAGTGGGTGGAGGGAGGTAAGGTCAGAGGGGGGAAGGAGGTAAGGTCAGAGGGGGGAGGGAGGTAAGGTCAGAGGGGGGAGGGAGGTGAGGTCAGTGGGGGGAAGGAGGTAAGGTCAGATGGGGGAGGGAGGTAAGGTCAGAGGGGGGAGGGAGGTGAGGTCAGTGGGGGGAAGGAGGTGAGGTCAGAGGGGGGAGGGAGGTAAGGTCAGAGGGGGGAGGGAGGTGAGGTCAGTGGGGGGAAGGAGGTGAGGTCAGAGGGGGGAGGGAGGTAAGGTCAGAGGGGGGAGGGAGGTAAGGTCAGAGGGGGGAAGGAGGTAAGGTCAGTGGGGGGAAGGAGGTGAGGTCAGAGGGGGGAGGGAGGTAAGGTCAGAGGGGGGAGGGAGGTAAGGTCAGAGGGGGGAAGGAGGTAAGGTCAGAGGGGGGAGGGAGGTGAGGACAGAGGGGGGAGGGAGGTGAGGTCAGTGGGGGGAAGGGAGGTAAGGTCAGATGGGGGAGGGAGGTGAGGTCAGAGGGGGGAGGGAGGTATACGTCAGTGTAGGGAAGGAGGTAAGGACAGATGGTGTAGGAGGGTAAAGTCAGATGGGGGAGGGAGGTAAGGTCAGTGGGGGAGGGAGGTAAGGTCAGTGGGGGGAAGGAGGTTAGGTCAGATGGGGGAGGGAGGTAAGGTCAGTGGGGGAGGGAGGTAAGGTCAGTGGGGGGAAGGAGGTTAGGTCAGATGGGGGAGGGAGGTAAGGTAGGATGGGGGAGGGTCGTAAGGTCAGATGGGGGAGGGAGGAGAGGTCAGATGGGGGAGGGAGGTAAGGTCAGTGGGGGGAAGGAGGTAAGGTCAGATGGGGGAGGGAGGTAAGGTCGAATGGGGGAGGGAGGTAAGGTCAGTGGGGGGAAGGAGGTTAGGTCAGATGGGGGAGGGAGGTAAGGTCAGATGGGGGAGGGAGGTGAGGTCGAATGGGGGAAGGAGGTTAGGTCAGTTGGGGGAGGGAGGTAAGGTAGGATGGGGGAGGGAGGTGAGGCCAGATGGGGGAGGGAGGTAAGGTCAGTGGGGGGAAGGAGGTAAGGTCAGATGGGGGAGGGAGGTAAGGTCAGCGCGGGGAAGGAGGTTAGGTCAGTACGGGGGAGGGAGGTAAAGCAGGATGGGGGAGGGAGGTAAGGTCAGATGGGGGAGGGAGGTAAGGTCAGATGGGGGAGGGAGGTAAGGTCAGTGGGGGGAGAGAGGTAAGGTCAGATGGGGGAGAGAGGTTAGGTCAGATGGGGGAGGGAGGTGAGGTCAGATGGGGGAGGGAGGTAAGGTCAGTGGGGGGAAGGAGGTTAGGTCAGATGGGGGAGGGAGGTAAGGTAGGATGGGGGAGGGTCGTAAGGTCAGATGGGGGAGGGAGGAGAGGTCAGATGGGGGAGGGAGGTAAGGTCAGTGGGGGGAGAGAGGTAAGGTCAGTAGGACCTTACCCCCGTCCCCCAATCTCCCATCCCGCCATCCTCTTCGATCACCTCCCTTCCCCGCTCTCTTCCCAACATAACGCCCAGTCATACCTACCTCTGCCCCGTCCTATGTCCTCGTCTCCAGGTCCAAGGAAGATGTATCGGTGGGATTCTCGACGGCGTCGTCGGATCCGGCTGGGGTTCAGGATGGGAGTTGAAGGAGAGGAGGATGACGAGGAGGGTATGGAGGGACAGGCGGGATCAACCTCTTCCGTCCCATCCCGAACCGCAAGGAACAACAATGGTGTACCTGGTCGCTCGGTAGTTGCCAGCAGTTGGCGGCCCGTTGAAAGGGTGACCCGACGTAGGGTTGTACAGCCAACTGGGTTGCCGCCACAGCTTTTTTATCCTAAGGAACGTTGGTCCCTGTCTGAGTTTGCCATCGAATGTCCAAAGCAAAGCTCTGTGCTTGAACAGTGGGCCATAAACGAGCTCGGTCTGGGGCAGGAAAGTGGTGATACGGACGAGAGGGTTACTGTTGAGAGTGTCCTGCATATCTGTCTTGGAAAGAACACGCTGGAGGATGCAGATGGGCAACCAATAGTAGCAAAAAACCACCGTTTCGTTGCTACGTCGAGTACTCCAAACTGTTAGGAGACCACCCGTTTGCACACGTTACATTGCCATGGCTTGTGTACGTAGTCATAGGGTCACTTTACCCAGAGCTTTCAGATGAAGGTTACGTGGGGTGTAGCCAGGCAGATGTAGACTGGTTCACGTCTTGGACAATCCCTAGTGAGATTGACTTCACCATGCGCAGCCCCCCGGTGGGCGCGGATGTAGCGAACATGGTCGAGACACAAGAGTCGCGTGTTGTGTGAATATGCATGTTGTAATCCTTGTGTGAGTAAATGCTAGCCATCACGTTTGCTAGTGTGTATGCCACTAAATTGTAGCAAAGTTTGCTCTTCGAAGGAGCAAAGAACATGTATCACTACATCATTACACCTAAACCAGTCAACCCATGCTTGATGTGATGCAGGGTACCACCATGGGGACACTTAGACATACGCAGCTCTCTGCAATTCTCTCCCCCTTGATAAGTAGCGCCGTGCGTCGCACTCTCCCCAAACATGTTTACTGTAGCAGCACGAAGCCACATGACAAAGTTGGTTCCACGCGTAATTAAAACTAGCTTAGCAACTGTTTTGCGTGGTTGTAACACTATAACCGTACATGGGTCCGTATTTCGCCAGCGCCCTCTCTCCTACCACACTTTCACCAATGCCGTTCTCTGCTCCCTCTGCTCAGTTGCCGCCAACGCTGCGAGAGGTGATGGCGGGGGGAAAGGGGGGAGATGGCGAAGGGGGAGGTGGGGTCAAAGAGTAGAGTTGGTCATAAGGAGTCCGGGAGGTGAGTATAGAGGGGGCTTGCTGCCGATGGGTCAGACATGAAAGGGTTGGTGGGTCAATTTGGAGGGGGGGGCGGGGTGCTGCGTGAGGGCAAAGGGGGTTCTGGCAGGGAAGAAATATGTGGTGGCATAGGGGAAAGTATCGTGAGGTCACTTTCCTCTTTATTCGTGCACTTATCTTGCCCCTCTGACCGCACCGCACCCCCCTTCCAACTCACCCATCACCTCCTAACCCACTGCCCGCACCCTCTTTTCCCTCTCCACGCACCTTCATTCCCCCCTTTTGACCTCACCTTCCTTTTTCCCTCCCCTGTTTGCCTACATTCCCCATATGAAATCAAGTCCTTTCCCCCTCCCTATGCACTTAACTCTCCCCTCTCAAATCACCTCTTGCCCCCTCTGACAGCACCTCTTGCCCCCCTCCCAACACCTTCTCTCCCGTCTCTCAGCACCTCCCTTCCCCCCTCTGAACTCACCTTCATTTCCCCCTACCCTCACATCCCATCCCCCCTCTGACCTCACCACCCTTCCCCCTTCCTCACCTATCTTCCACCACTCACCTCCCCTCCCTCCACCCTCTCACCTCATGTCCCTCCCCCCTCCATCATCACGTATCTTCACCCTACCTGCTCACCTACCTCCCCTTCTGACAGCACCTCCCTCCCATAGGGAAAATTAGGGGTAACAAAGGGTGAAATGAGAGGGACTCCAGGGGAAAATGATGGGACACTAGGGGGGGGATGAGAGGGAGCAGTGGAAAATAAGAATGGGATATTATTCCCCCCAATGGGGGAATGGTTTGGGAGGAGCGGGAACGGGTCCAGGCGCGGGAAAGGGATAGGGGAGTGAGGAGGTGGGTACGGAGACAGGAAGGATGGAGAGCATTCGTGCGTATGCCTCACCACAAGTTCACACCCGGAGCTATCGCTAAGCACCTTCCCTCCCCCCTCTCACAGGACCTCTGTCCTCTCCTCCTTCCCCCTCTCAGTGCACCTTCTCCCCACCTCTGTCCTCTCCTCCCTTCCCCCTCTCACAGCTCCTACCTTCCCCCACCCACAGCATCTCCCTTCCCCCACCCACAGCATCTCCCTTCCCCCTCTCACAGCTCCTCCCTTCCCCCTCTCACAGCTCCTCCCTTCCCCCACCCACATCATCTCCCTTCCCCCTATCACAGCTCCTCCCTTCCCCCTCTCACATCTCCTACCTTCCCCCACCCACAGCATCTCCCTTCCCCCTATCACAGCTCCTCCCTTCCCCCTATCACAGCTCCTCCCTTCCCCCTCTCACAGCTCATACCTTCCCCCACCCACAGCATCTCCCTTCCCCCTATCACAGCTCCTCCCTTCCCCCTCTCACAGCTCCTCCCTTCCCCCACCCACATCATCTCCCTTCCCCCTCTCACAGCTCCTCCCTTCCCCATCTCACAGCATCTCCCTTCCCCCACCCACAGCATCTCCCTTCCCCCTATCACAGCTCCTCCCTTCCCCCTCTCACAGCTCCTCCCTTCCCCCACCCACAGCATCTCCCTTCCCCCTCTCACAGCTCCTCCCTTCCCCCACCCACATCATCTCCCTTCCCCCTCTCACAGCTCCTCCCTTCCCCCTCTCACAGCTCCTACCTTCCCCCACCCACAGCATCTCCCTTCCCCCACCCACAGCATCTCCCTTCCCCCTATCACAGCTCCTACCTTCCCCCTCTCACAGCTCCTCCCTTCCCCCACCCACATCATCTCCCTTCCCCCTATCACAGCTCCTCCCTTCCCCCTCTCACAGCTCCTCCCTTCCCCCACCCACAGCATCTCCCTTCCCCCACCCACAGCATCTCCCTTCCCCCTATCACAGCTCCTACCTTCCCCCTCTCACAGCTCCTCCCTTCCCCCACCCACATCATCTCCCTTCCCCCTATCACAGCTCCTCCCTTCCCCCTCTCACAGCTCCTCCCTTCCCCCACCCACATCATCTCCCTTCCCCCTCTCACAGCTCCTCCCTTCCCCATCTCACAGCATCTCCCTTCCCCCACCCACAGCATCTCCCTTCCCCCTATCACAGCTCCTCCCTTCCCCCTCTCACAGCTCCTCCCTTCCCCCACCCGCATCATCTCCCTTCCCCCTATCACAGCTCCTCCCTTCCCCCTCTCACAGCTCCTACCTTCCCCCACCCACAGCATCTCCCTTCCCCCACCCACAGCATCTCCCTTCCCCCTCTCACAGCTCCTCCCTTCCCCCTCTCACAGCTCCTCCCTTCCCCCACCCACATCATCTCCCTTCCCCCTCTCACAGCTCCTCACTTCCCACACACAGCATCTCCATTCCCCATATCACAGCTCGTCCCTTCCCCCTCTCACAGCTCCTCCCTTCCCCCACCCACAGCAGCTCCCTTCCCCCTCTCGCACCTCCTACCTTCCCCCTCTCGCTGCTCCTCCCTTCCCCGTTCCGCCTCTCATTCCGCATCTCAAGCCGCCTCTCCTTCCGCCTCTCATTCCGCCCCTCCTTCCGCATCTCACTCCGCCTCTCGCGTCGCCTCTCATTCCGGGTTTCTTTCCGCCCCTCATTACGCCTCTCATTACGCCTCTCATTACGCCTCTCATTACGCCTATCTATTCGCCTCATCCCGCCTCTCAATCCGCCTCTCATCCCGCCTCTCACGCCGCCTCTCGTTCCGCCTCTCGTTCCGCCTCTCATTCCGCCTCTCGTTCCGCCTCTTTTTCCGCCTCTCATTCCGCCTCACATTCCGCCTCTTATTCCGCCTATAATTCCGCCCCTGCTTCCGCACTTCACACCGCCTCTCAGTGCGTCTCTCATTCCGCCGCTCATTCCGCCTCTCACGCCAAGTCTAATTCTGCCTCTCATTGCGCCTCTCCTTACTCCGTATTTAGTTTCGCCCCCCGTTACGCCGCTCAAAACGCCTCTCATTAGGCCGTGTAAGGCCACTTATTACACTACAGCCGTTCACTTAGTGCTCGTAAGGGCCTCGTACTGCGCGGGCCTACGATGTCGACGCGATTCTAGGGGCCCACATTTCTGGCGGGGTAATCTCCCGCAAATTGATTAGGCTCACCTAATCAAGGGTCGGGCGTTTGGGCGATGAAAGCCGGTTCGGGGCAGCGCGGCGTGGGCTGTGGATTGTCTAGGGATAGAGATGGCGGTCTATAGTCTATGACAGGTCGCGTTTTTGTCGAATGCGAATGAGATTGTAGCAGTGTAGGTCGTGATGGGCATACGAAGTGTGGGGCATCGAGGTTTTGGGTGAGGCTTTCTAACCACTTTGCGTTCGTCGTGCTCCAGTCGGGGACATGTGTCCAGGGAGGTAAAACACTTGGTGCAGAGTGCCTTTTGAGATATTGACGAGTTCCCAGTCTCATATTTCTGAGCTGTGTAAAACGCTTGGTTTGCAGGGACGAGAGGGCGACGGTCCCGTTGTCGCACGATGAGCGCATTCTCAGCTTTGTTTGTCGCGCAGGTGAGTTTGCCAACCCAACCTGCTTTGGCGTATTTGCTCACCCAATTACAGTGCACGTTGCAAACCCAAACCACCCCACCCACACTTTCCCGAATCTCAACCCTTGCCTGGGTGTACTTTGCGACAAAGCAGTCTGTTACCCTATATCAAGCGTTTAACACTTGGATGGAAGGGTGTAATTGGAGACGCGAGCTTTAAGTATGTGGATATTCCCTCACCCCTAGGAGGCTGATCTGGCATGATGCTTTTTTGCGCATTCTGCATGAACACGTTCTCTTTCGCGCGGTTCGGAGTCTGGAAAGCGTAACGTCCAGCACAGCAGCACCAGATAAGCAGTGCGATCAAGCCATCAATATATTACCCACTTTTGCTTGCTGCCAAGGTACGGAATGATCCACTACAGACAGACAGTGTACCTCTCAGGGACTTGATACGGAACCCATGTCTAGAAGTCATTGCTGCATATTGCAGGTTTACTAAGGTTGACAGCTTAGCATACTTCATATTAACAATGCGGTCATTGCAACGCACATGCAGAACCAAGCGTCGATAGCAGAGATTGCATAGAAGCTAACCAAAGGTCTTCATGGCAATACCACCACCATAAACGGGTGTCCCATACCACAGCCTGTCACAAGCCTCTGAGCAATTTCTTGAGCTTCCTCCCTTGAACTCTTAGAAGACTCCGTGTGTGAGCCACGCTTGCTCGAATTCTTGCCGCCAGCTTCCTTCGCTGGAACTTTGCCTCTGCTGTCTTTGGCAGCCGCAGACTGGCCTGTCTTGCCTCCAGCTTCACCTCCACTGGCATCAGCACTCCAGGCAACACGGTAACTCCAGAAATTGTACACACCAGGAGAGAACACCAGTGCTGTGAGCTTCACACTAGCTTCCTCCCCTGGAGCAAGCTTGGGAATTTGCATGGCAGTCTGGCCGGCCCACATGTACGGTCCACACGCTGCTGTGCCACACGCCACCTCATCACCACCCAGCACACCACCTCCACCTGAGAAACCTCCTGCGAAGCTTCTAGGACTCGCTACTGTGCCGCCGTCCTGGCCATCCAAGTTGTTGGGGCAGTAAAAGCCAGATTTCTCAGGCAGATTCGAGCCCAGAGTGGACGCATTGACATTCTTTTCCACAGCAGGCAGCAGTGCCGGGTCGAACGTGTGGACAGCAGCAGAGGCAGGGGAGGAGGAGCAGTTTCGGAGGAGGAGCGTGAGAGAGACGGGGCAGGTGGGGTTGGACGAGAAGTCGTGCTGGAGATAAGATGGCCCGTCCATTCTCCATCGCACAGCAGCAGATGCAGCAGTGGAACCAGCATTGGCGGCAGAAGCATTGTCTGCTGCTGAGCCGCTCCCTGCAGAAGCTGCTGCTCCTGTTGCAGCCCCACTAGCTGTTCCCCCTCCTCCTCCTCCTGCACTTGTGCTAGCACTTGCAGTCGCAGCAGCAACAGAGGAGACACCGTAAGCTGGGCCTACCTGGCAATTACAGATATGATGCGTCCCTATGCACACCCTATTCACGTTCCTGTCGCTCGCGTTAGTATCATCTTCGCTAGACGCTGTCTTGCTGCTGCTACTTATCGCACTTTTAGGTAAAACCAGGGAAGGCACATCTGATCCAGATGCGGAACCGGCAACCCCACCAGCAGCAGCAGCCCTACCATCACTCCCATTCCCTGGCCCCTGCTCCTGATACTCCCACAAAATTACCACATCCAGTAGTTCACCCCCTTGCCCACGCACACTTCCCCCTCCCCCTGTGCCTCCCCCTCCCCCACTGCCTGAGCGCCAAACGGGCCGTGAGCCAATCCCAGGGCTCCCCGCCCCCCCCGCTGCCCCTCCTCCTGGGGGAGTGGGCCAGGAAGGTGGGCGGCTGGGGGTGAAATGGCCGCGGGGGGAGAGAGGAACGGAGCTGGGGCGAGCGGTGTTGAAGCGGGAGTGGTGCAGAGAGATGTGCAGAGGTTGCTTCGGAGGAGGGGCGTCAGGGTTGGTGACGGGATCTGGGGGAGGGAGAGCCTGGGAGAGGTAAGATCGAGGGTGGCAGGAGGCGCAAGAGGGGGAAAGAGCTATCACTGGTTATTAAAGAGAGAGAGACTGTGAGAACAACAGTGGGAGCATTGTACATGGGTACTCAGACTTCCGACTTCCCCAGAGGTGAAACTTTGCGATGCAAGCGTGGGGCATTCAAGCAATGGCATTCAAGCAATGGCATTCAAGCAATGGCATTCAAGCAATGGCATTCAATCTGGAAGGCAATAAACGAACAGACATGCGTTCCAGATTCCACCACGTTGACCCAAAACCCTTCCATATGTGCGGGGTGTGCATGGAGAGAGTATCTGGGGAGGATCAATGAGAGGGATGTGTGAATGCGCTTAGGACTTCAAGAGTTGCGTGATTCACCTGGAACACGTGATTCACCTGGAACACTCGTTCCCTGAGGTGCAGGGCGTGCAAGGGGTCTCTGCGGATGTCAATGAGAGGCTCCGCCTGCCCCCCCAGCCTCGCATCACTCTTGAAGCTCTCCCTGTCCGCGCGCTCGTTCTTGGCTGACGAGGCGAAATCCTGCGATCGATGAAAGAAGGAATGACAGTTTTTTAGGTGAGTCGAGTGAGAAGGGTTGTTGCAGGTACAAATGAGAAGACATGACTGCCTGCATGCGAGGGCTCAAGTTGCTGTCGAGTCTGTGTCCCTCCCTATGTGAGCCTCTCCAGGCACTGAAGATATTATGGAGGGATATGTTCAATGCACTTGGAGGAAATGTTCAAGTAGTACCAAGATGCATCTGGCTAGGACGAACCTGAATGTGGAAGAAGATTGAGGTGCCTTGGCCAGGAGGCAGGATCTGGGGTGCAGCCAGTGCTGCAGATAGCAACGCCCCACGCATCTGCTGCTCCTCATCCTCCAGCTCGCTCTCCTGTTGCTGCTGCCTCTGGCCGTCCAGATTCGACGAACCAGAATCAGCAGCAGAAGAAGAGAGGGAAGGTTGTCGTGGTTGGGCGGGTTGCAGGGGAGCGAGGCGCCAGTGGGAGCCAGGGCAAGAGACCTGGCGCAGCCAGAAGGTGCGGCTGTGGTTGTGATTCTCCACGTCCATGCGGAGCAGGTAGCATGCGATGTCCGAGTTGCTGGGAGCTATGCGCAGTGACACGTGCAGGGACGGGTGGATCTGTAGAATTGGGGTTGGAGGAAAGGGATGGACAAGAAGAGAGGGGGTTCAGAAAAGAATAAGCTTGTTAGACACTGCAGAAGTGACTGTGATCTCACGTGTCAATGCACTGCATTCAAAAAGCAGGGTTCAATGCACGAGGATGCGTGGGCTGGATGGGCATAAATGGCCTGGATCAAGGGCAAGGTACTTCAAGAGGAGATGCAAGAGGTAGGGCAGAGAGAGGAGAGGCAGCTGGAGAAGAGGCAGCTGGAGAAGAAGAAAAGAGTGAACCAGTTACCGTGATTGTTTGTCGCAGACGCAAGGTACGAAAGGTCATGGGGGCGTGCGAGGAGAGGTGAGACGGATGATGCTGCGATGGTCGATGGTGTGAGTGATGCCCATGTCCATGCCCATGGCCGTGGGATTGATGCGAGTGGTGGTGCGTGGGGAGAGGAGGAGGGAACGACCCGCCCTCTGCCCCACTCCCAGGGCCCACGCCCCCAAGAATGCTGCCCACAGAAGTGGCAGCAGCAGAGGCAGTTCCAGCAGCACCACTCGCATGGGCAGGTTCGAAGAAGAAGACAAGGCCAAGGTCCAGAGAGGTTGTATCAAGAGGGTGCAGCCAGAGGGGCCACACCAGCGATGCTCCTCCTTCCAGGATGAACCGCTGCCATGTGGTGGGGCAGGAAGGGGGGTTCAAGGGGAGGAGGAGAGGGATGGGGTGGGGCAGGAAGAGTAAAGGCTTGCTCTTCAGTGGAAGACTGAAACACACTCGCACACACTGCACAACTTGCACAGACTCGCACCAACTTCACTAGCACTCTATCGCATTGACTCCCTTCAGATCGCCTGCCCATCATTATTGTTTTCAGATTTTCCAAAGCTAGGCAGCAGATTAAATGCTGGAAAAACGTTGATGACTTCAAGAGAGTAAAACGGAATACTGCAGAGGGCTTTTAAGCATAAAGAGTGAACAGACGGGAGCGTACAGATGGGAAGGAGAAGATGAAGCCATTCTTCATACTGCCGTGATCTCCCTGCGGGTCTGTCACGCTCCGACTGCGCTCCACAGGCAACCCTCCCTCTGCCGCCACCACCCCACTCCCTCCTCCACCACCGCTGGTTCTTTTAGTCCCCTGAACTCCACCTGTGGCTTCCCCCTCGTCCACTTGCTGCTGCTCCAGGCATGCAGGCAGGCGGGCATTGCGGTCTGCAGGGTCGCCCAGCAGCAGGCAGGCTGGGTGGGATGTGCGCAGCTTTAGGCGCTGATGGGATGCAATGGAGGGGGGAAGGGGGAGAGAAGGAGAGAGGGGAAATAGCTAATGAGATTTGCCAAGGAGCAAGCAGGTGGAATGTCGTAGGCATGGAAAAGGGGGAAAGGTAAGAAGGAGGAAAGGTTAGAAGGGGGAAAGGTTAGAAGGGGGAAAGGTTAGAAGGAGGAAAGCAGGTGGTGGAAGCAATGTGGGGTGCCTCACAGCATGAGAAGATGGCTGGGTGAATTGGGGAACAGGAAGATGGATGATAGCCGACCGATAGACTCACCTTAAGCGGCACATGTGATGTGTTGGTGAGCTTGAGTTGCAAGCGGTAAAGCTGCCCCTCCACTGCCTCCTCTGGCATACCCTCTAGCTCCGCCTGAACTCGTGGCATCTCCTGCTTGCATGAGCACGAGAGGGAATGGAAGTGAATAGAAGTGCAGGCTTCATTCATGTAGGTCGCACGAGAAATCCACAACCGCACCAACACTTCAAAAGAACACCACAGCAAAGCAGGAGAAGGCTGTGGCATGGGACAGCGATGCATAACACACAGAAAGAAATGCTGCAGGATGACTCAGTGAGGCAGCACATCGCACCGGAATGACATGGAAGTGTAGGCGCTGGTGGGTGGGCAGTTGGCGTGACGGCTTGCCCTTGCGCTTGGGAGGTGCCTTGATGTCGAAGAGCGAGCGGCTGACGGCTGTGCGGCCCTCGCTGGTGATGGCCCACTCCACACCGAATATGTGCAGCACGCCCACACGGCATGGCCGCACCTTCAGACGCACCTAGGAGTGAAGTAGAGGTTTGGAGGCGGATGGGTGGGGGCGGATGGATGTGGAAGGGTGTAGAGGTTGGGAGGTAGGTGTGGCATCAGTGTGTAGGAGGTAAGGGTAGGTTGATGAGGTAGAGGTGGAACACATGGGAGGCGGAGTGTTGGAGAGCAAGGGTAAGGATGAAGAGAGGAGAAACGAAGCTGGACAAGTAACAGGGTGGAGTGGAGAATGGCAGAAGGGTATCGAATTGCGTATGGATGGAGGAGCAATGACTGACAGGTTGGTACTTACTGTGACACGTTCACCCGGCTTCAAGGCAAAGGCAGTCTTCTCAGCCACATACGGCTCTGTCAATCCGCTACCAGCAATAGCCGCTGCTGCACTGGCACTCTGCATGTTGCCCTCCTTGCCCTTCTCCTCCTTCCCCGCTTCTACCTTTCCTGCCTTCTTGCTCCCCCTTCCATCTGCTCCTCCAGTTAGTGCTGACTGGTTAGCAGCTCCACTGCCCTGCTGCTGCAGATTGCTTCCCTCTGTTCCCTTGGCAAGAGCACGCTTCCCATCATCCTCACTACCCTTGCCTTGGCCCTCATCACCGGTGGTGGTATCAGCGAGAGGGTGCAGGAAGAGAGCAGGGTCGTCTGCCGCAAGGTCGCTTTGGGATTGACTCTTTCGAGATGCGCTGTGGACAACAGGAGTGGAGATGAGTGGAATCAGAGGCCAGGGACAGTGGGACGGGAAGGTGTAATCGCGAGGGAAGGACGCAGTTTGCACAAGGAGGTGGTGGTTATACAGAAACATATGAGGCAAGTAGAATAAGCGCAAGCATAAACGAGTGGGGCGCACTCGACACACGAAAAGAGTCGTTGCACATCCTCACCTCCCGTCGTCACGCCCAGAGCTCTCCCATAGTGACTCTGAGCTCTCTGCTTGATCCAGAACGGGAGAGCTTGCTGCACGCACCAGCCCTGAGAGCCGTGGGGGTTTGGCATGCAATAAGGAAACCAGTTTCAGGAAACCAGCAGGTGTTCATTCAGCAAAAAAGACAGCTGCGATGTCCCATTCACCTACCCAGAATCGAGGTGACTTAACACTCCAAGTCACCATAGTTTGGCTTGGCAACACGTGGAAGGAGGAAGAATGGAGGTGCAAGGTAGCATCACATCTACCAGGAAAAGTTCGTAAGATGCTCCAGCAGCCCACCTGATCCATCCTTAGCAGCAGCATTTGGTGATGTGGGCCGGCTGTGGCTAGAGGTGGGAGCATCAGAAGCAAGGTCACCAGCAGCAGAGGGCGACGCGGAAGGCACTGCTGCAGGTGATGCGCCCAAGTGAGAGGCTGGGGAGGATGGGGCATTGGCTGCTGCAGTGCCGGTGCCAGAGCTGGTGGTGGTGGTGGTGGAGGAGGAGGAGGAGGTGTCGTAGTGATGGCAGAGCAGATGCACGCCAGATATCTGCAGGGCAATCTGAAGAGGGTTCCAAAACTCCACGTCCACTCCAATGTCCTCTGGAAGGAAGGAAGGCAGAAGTAGACGCAAGGAGGAGGTATATGGTTCAGAGCAAAGCCAGGAGGGTAGTGAGCATGCGGCCACACTCATTCATGGCCCCAAACAAAGAAGTGCACGCACGCACCCCCAGCGACACAGGTGTTGGTGGCGATGGTGTCATGCGCCCCTGCGCGTGTCTTGGAGGGCGCGTCCAGCCACGTGGGCACCACCATGGCTGCTGCTGGCGGCACCACCCCCTCCTCCAGTGCCGACCAAAATGACTCTGGGAGCTCCTCCTGGTGAAAGCAACATAAATGAGGCGGTTTGGTGGTGTCAGTCGAGCTTGAAGCTTGGAGGCATACGCGTCACTAGCGATCGAGGGGGCTGGAATAGATTAGAGCGGTAATAGAAAGTGATGGAAGGGGCTACGGTGGGTGGGCTTAGATTAGCAAGAGAAGATTGGCGAAGTGATGGTTTGACGTGTAGCAAAAGAAAGATCTGGTCCGTAGCGGTGAGCAGGGTTGGTTGGCCAAGTGTGGCCTGTGGCCAGAAAGAATCAGGCTGTTTGGAGGGGTGTTAAGCTACAACCATAGCAAGACAACAGAGCAGAGCGGATGCATGTATGGGTTGTGGAGAATCGGCTTACAGAGGCAGGGGATGCGAAGATGCGGTGGTCTTCAAAGTGGACGTACACCTTCTGTGTGTTGACGTGTGGCAGCGGCAGCTCCAACGCTCCCTGCTTGTCCTTTGACTGCACTGCCTGTAGGGTGAAGCGATGCAGCAACGACAGAAGGAGGATGTGGAAGGATCTGATAGAAGGCGATCTGGTCAATGTAGGTTCATTTGCGAGACGGGAGAAATTAAGTAACCACGTTCCATCCCACAATTAAAATGTAGACACTACTACCCATTCTTGAATGGGTCTGCATCTACCTTGCCGGCTTGCACCACACTTGGTCAACATGTTCCTCAATGCATCTACCTATTTCCACCGCATTGCACATACTTCAACCATTTACCTGCACCAAACTGCATCTTCCTGAACCATGTACCAGTGTCTCACTGCATCTGCCAACACCCCGCCCTGATCACCTACCTGCACCACATAGAGGAACTCTCGCAGGAAAGTGGCTTGCATGGCGGCAGACTGGTGGGCGCACGCCAGCAAGCGGACAAAATACACCACCGCCCCGTTGTAGCTGCCGAGGTATGCTGAAAGCCTTCACAGAGAGAGGGGGGGAGAGGAGGGGAGGAATGGAAAGAGAGTGATGATGGAAAGTGTGGGAAATCGATTAGGGCGCAGAGAAGAAAGACGAGCGAATGGGTTCCAACCGATGCAAGTAACCAGCTTTTTTGTCAAACAACAAGTGGCACTCAGAGCATGATACTGAAAGAGATGCCCAACCCATGGGCTTGTGCGGCTATACCTGCCAAGCGTAAAGTTGCAGTGGTCTAGGATGAAGTTCCAGCCCTTGTCACGATACACGCCCTCCACACACTTATACGCCCGCATGGCATGTTTTCGCTGATGGCACACAAGGACAAGTGCACAGGAGAAGGAATGTGCTCAGATATTGTGCCCGGATATGAAGCGTGATGAGCACAGCCAATGAGGTTGGTCAGCTTCTCGCTCATGCCCTCGCCAACATGGTGCCTCTGTGAGTGGCACTGTTCACCCATGCATCAGCACGCCCAAATATCAACACAAGGATTCTTTCATCAACGCGTTTAGCAGTAACACCAGTTGGTTAACGTGCGATGGGATACCACCGCTCACATGGTGCCACGGAAAGTAACATAAGCAACAAGCGCACTTCGCTCCTCACATGCCCGTCTACTACTCTCACCAAGGGGGAGAACTCTCACTACATTCTCCCTCACTCCAACCCTCCCTCCTTGCCACCTTTCCTCCGCTCCCCTCACTTCGCTTGCATGACATTAGACGTAGCACTGCGCCACCTTCCCTTCTTCTGCTCCTTCTGTCCATTGCCCCTTTTCTCATCCCCTCGCCCTTCTGCCTGCATGCCATCCACCCGTGCAGCTTCCTCGCCTGCATGGCATCAGACTGCGTTTCCCCCCTCTGCCCTCCATCTGCTACCTCTATTCACCGCCCCTTCTCGGATGAAGGTTCACCTCCGGATTAAGGTTCACCCCCAGATGAAGGTTCACCCCCGGATGAAGGTTCACCCCCTGATTAAGGCTCAGCTCCGGATTAAGGTTCACCCCCGGATTAAGGCTCACCTCCGGATGAAGGTTCACCCCCGGATTAAGGTTCACCCCCGGATTAAGGTTCAACCCCGGATTAAGGTTCACCCCCGGATTAAGGTTCACCCCGGATGAAGGTTCACCCCCGGATTAAGGTTCACCCCGGATTAAGGTTCGCCCCCGGATTAAGGTTCACCCCGGGATGAAGGTTCACCCCGGGATGAAGGTTCACCGCCGGATGAAGGTTCACCCCCGGATGAAGGCTCACCCCCGGATGAAGGTTCACCCCCGGATTAAGGCTCACCTCCGGAGTAAGGTTCACCCCCGGATTAAGGCTCACCCCCGGATTAAGGCTCACCTCCGGATTAAGGTTCACCCCCGGATTAAGGTTCACCCCCGGATGAAGGTTCACCCCCGGATTAAGGTTCACCCCCGGATTAAGGTTCACCCCGGGATGAAGGTTCACCCCGGGATGAAGGTTCACCCCCGGATAAGGTTCACCCCCGGATGAAGGTTCACCCCCGGATGAAGGTTCACCCCCGGATGAAGGTTCACCCCCGGATGAAGGTTCAGCCCCGGATGAAGGTTCACCCCCGGATGAAGGTTCACCCCCGGATGAAGGTTCACCCCCGGATGAAGGTTCACCCCCGGATGAAGGTTCACCCCCGGATGAAGGTTCACCCCCGGATGAAGGTTCACCCCCGGATGAAGGTTCACCCCCGGATGAAGGTTCACCCCCGGATGAAGGTTCACCCCTGGATGAAGGTTCACCCCGGGATGAAGGTTCACCCCCGGATAAGGTTCACCCCCGGATGAAGGTTCACCCCCGGATGAAGGTTCACCCCCGGATGAAGGTTCACCCCCGGATGAAGGTTCACCCCCGGATGAAGGTTCACCCCCGGATGAAGGTTCACCCCCGGATGAAGGTTCACCCCCGGATGAAGGTTCACCCCCGGATGAAGGTTCACCCCCGGATGAAGGTTCACCCCCGGATGAAGGTTCACCCCCGGATGAAGGTTCACCCCCGGATGAAGGTTCACCCCCGGATGAAGATTCACCCCCGGATGAAGGTACACCCCCGGATTAAGGTTCACCCCCGGAAGAAGGTTCGCCCCCGGATGAAGGTTCACCCCCGGATGAAGGTTCACCCCCGGATGAAGGTTCACCCCCGGATGAAGGTTCAACCCCGGATGAAGGTTCACCCCCGGATGAAGGTTCACCCCCGGATGAAGGTTCACCCCCGGATGAAGGTTCACCCCCGGATGAAGGTTCACCCCCGGATGAAGGTTCACCCCCGGATGAAGGTTCACCCCCGGATGAAGGTTCACCCCCGGATGAAGGTTCACCCCCGGATTAAGGTTCACCCCCGGATGAAGGTTCACCCCCGGATGAAGGTTCACCCCCGGATTAAGGTTCACCCCCGGATGAAGGTTCACCCCCGGATGAAGGTTCACCCCCGGATGAAGGTTCACCTCCGGATGAAGGTTCACCCCCGGATGAAGGTTCACCCCCGGATGAAGGTTCACCACCGGATGAAGGTTCACCCCCGGATGAAGGTTCACCCCCGGATGAAGGTTCACCCCCGGATGAAGATTCACCCCCGGATGAAGGTACACCCCCGGATTAAGGTTCACCCCCGGAAGAAGGTTCGCCCCCGGATGAAGGTTCACCCCCGGATGAAGGTTCTCTTTGGGATGAAGGTTCCCTTCGGGATTAAAGTTCACCCCCGGATGAAGGTTCACCCCCGGATGAAGGTTCACCCCCGGATGAAGGTTCACCCCCGGATTAAGGTTCACCCCCGGATTAAGGTTCACCCCCGGATGAAGGTTCACCCCGGATGAAGGTTCACCCCCGGATAAAGGTTCACCCCCGGATGAAGGTTCACCCCCGGATGAAGGTTCACCCCCGGATGAAGGTTCACCCCCGGATGAAGGTTCACCCCCGGATTAAGGCTCACCTCCGGAGTAAGGTTCACCCCCGGATTAAGGCTCACCCCCGGATTAAGGCTCACCTCCGGATGAAGGTTCACCCCCGGATTAAGGTTCACCCCCGGATTAAGGTTCACCCCCGGATGAAGGTTCACCCCGGATGAAGGTTCACCCCCGGATAAAGGTTCACCCCCGGATGAAGGTTCACCCCCGGATGAAGGTTCACCCCCGGATGAAGGTTCACCCCCGGATGAAGGTTCACCCCCGGATGAAGGTTCACCCCCGGATTAAGGTTCACCCCCGGATTAAGGTTCACCCCCGGATTAAGGTTCAACATGGTGTCAGCAATCGTTTAAAAATGCTTGCACGACAAGCGAAATTGAAATCCAGATGTTCACCTGGGAGGCGAGGTTGTATCGGTTGCCTGCGAGCACCATGTGGAAGCCGTACTTGCGCAGCATGGGAGGCGTCACTCGCACAAAGCAGACCGCTGCCTGCTCCAACAACACTGCTGCCTTCACTCCACTCTCCTGCAATGGGGGGAGAGAGAGGGGAAGTGTGGTTTGTGGAGGGGGGAGATGGCGGGGGGAAGGCATGGGCATGGGCAAGTGGAGAGGAGAAAGGGAAGGAAGAAAGAAGAGCTGTTACCAGGTAAAGAGGGTGGTGGAAGTATCATTGGAATGTTGCAGGAAAGGCCAGTGGAATGTGCGAAGCATAACTACAGGCCACTCAACAACATTTCCCACCACAGATCAAAGAATCAACGAAGAACTCTCTAAGTGAAGGTGGAAGGGAGAACCTACCTCCAAAGATGCACGCATGAGGGTGAGTGCAGCATCTCGGAAGTTTCCCTTAGCCTTAAACATCCCAATCATCCAGAAGACTGTTCTGAGGGCAAAGCGGGCTCCCAGTGGACCACAGCGCTGACAGGGATGTGAGCAGATGGAGGAACGTTAGGGAGGATGGAAGATACGGGAAGAGACGAAGTTGACGGAGGGGGAAAGGATAAAAGAGGAAAAGAGCGGAGAGGAAGAGCGGGTGGGGAAGGGAAGTGGGGGTTGGGGGAAGGGGAGAGGGGGATGGGGGAAGGGGAGTGCAGGGTGGGGGAAGGGGAGGGGAAGGAGAACACAAAACAGGAGGAAGGTTGACAGGAACGAAAACGCGCCTGAATTGCCATAGTGAGTGAAATACCTGGTATGAGGCGTAAGCGCTCTCCATGCACTGCTCCATTTCCCTTCGAGAAATCTCCAAGAGAAAGAGTGACACTGCCACCATTTCCTGGAACCAACATAAAGATCCACACATCCCAATCCCCCATCATTTACACAAGCGTGATCACACACACATGCAGACTTCAATGCATACACCCACACAATTGCAGAATCAGTCGCACGCACACACATACATGCACGCATGCATGCACAAACATGCACACAGACATCGATGCCCATGGCACACATGGGGACAACGAATGATAAGGTCACACAGAAACGCAATCTGCTGCAATAGCAGTACAAAACTTGGAACCAGGCGATGTGAGTGTCAAAGAAATGAGAGCATGATCGCCGGTCTGAGGACGATGTGCATGATCGCCGGTCTGAGGACGATGTGCATGATCGCCGGTCTGAGGACGATGTGCATGATCGCCGGTCTGAGGACGATGTGCATGATCGCCGGTCTGAGGACGATGTGCATGATCGCCGGTCTGAGGACGATGTGCATGATCGCCGGTCTGAGGACGATGTGCATGATCGCCGGTCTGAGGACGATGTGCATGATCGCCGGTCTGAGGACGATGTGCATGATCGCCGGTCTGAGGACGATGTGCATGATCGCCGGTCTGAGGACGATGTGCATGATCGCCGGTCTGAGGACGATGTGCATGATCGCCGGTCTGAGGACGATGTGCATGATCGCCGGTCTGAGGACGATGTGCATGAAAGTCACACACGGTGCGCTTCGCATCACTCAAACCCCTCAAGAACCAGTGATTCACCCAGCGATTGACTGACCTGCGCCCCAGCGTAGTGCTTCCATGCCTTGTCTCTGCGGTAGTCTGCCGCCACGAGCCGGTAGTTGTCCAGCGCAAGCTGGAAGTCCTGCAGCATCATGGCTGCGTCCGCCAGCTGGCGGATCTGAGACTCAGGCGAGCGGTAGGTGTAGCTGAGAGGATGGTGAAGGGTGAGAAAAGGGGAGAGATCGATGAGTTTAGTACACTGGCTGAGAGGGGGCAAGAGGGAGGGTGGCTAGGGAATGTCGTATAGAATGGCCACAGTTAAAGAAAGTGCAATCGGGGAGGGGGAGTGTGTGGGGGCCGTGACAGAGGGATGAAAGGGCCATGGCAAGGAAGGGAGGGGAGACAAAAGGTGCTTACACGCCGGGTGTGGCGTCTGCCGACTCTTCCTTCCCCTTGCCAAACCACAAGTTCTTGATCTGGTTGCGTAGCCCACGACGACTGGCTGAGATCTGGGGCATTCATATTCGTGGATGCAAACACAAACAAACACCCGCATACATACACATGCACACATCCACACATTTACACAGACTTGCTCGCGATCACATGTATTGAAGGCCCAGACAAAAACAGAGACTGAAGCTGATGTAGACGGGAAGCGAGGAAACCACCACAAACTGCCTGTTGGTCCACTTGCCGGATCATTAGGTTCCTCCACCAACCTGCTGGTTGAGGTCTCGCGCCTTTCGCTCGAGGTGAGGTACGAGGTGCTTCACACTGAGCTCCATCATCATGTCCGCCACCTCCCTCACGTCCGCCTCACTCATATACTGCCCCACCGCCCCTGACACCGGCGGACCTGAGGGGCTCTGTGGCAACTGCAGGAAGCAGGGGAGAACGAGAGGGGTGGAGGAGAAGAGGGGGGTCGGAGAGCGAGGGGATTTTGGGAAGGGGAGATGAGAGGTTGGGGGAGAGGGGGGGAAGAGCAGGGCGTTGTGGTTAGTCCAAAGCCGATACCACGAGTCCTCCTTACCGCAGTGCCGGCAGGAGGAGGCGGTGCGACCCCTCCAACGGGGACAGGGCGGTGCTTGGTCCAGATGTCAGGCCGAGACTGGCTGGGAGCAGCGGCAGAGTTGATAGGCAACAAGCGGCAGACAGGGCTGCCAAAAGCAGCACGCATCTCAGCTATAGTGAGCTCGACTTGAGAGGAGGTGGAGGGAGGGCCGAGGGAGGAGCAGTCGTGCAGGAGGAGGTAGTGCAGGTGCAGCTTGGGGTCCATGGTGCCGTCACGGTAGAGCGCAGGCAGGCGCTCGGGAGTCATGAGCTCACGCAAGGCGCGCACAGGGAAGGGCTCTGACGTGGAGGCGACCAGCAGACCTGGGGTGGTGGTGGGCGTTGGTGGATTTGGAAGCGGAACATTGCAGGACAGTGAGTTGAAAGCAGATGGATTTGTACTTGTCGTCAAAGCGAAGGAGTTCGGTAAACAGAGACAAGGATGCAGAAAGATAAAAGGGCGAGCAAAGGGAGATGTGCCTTTATGAAAGTGGACAGTGAGGAGGGAGCTTACACGCAATGGGATGATCAAAGGTCTCGTGGTCAGAAAAGACGAGTGTGCGCATGAACTCGTCGGTAAAACGCTGAAACCAACAAGTCCGGTTCTCCGCATTGGCCACTGTAGCCACATAGACGAAAAGGGTGGGGAAAGGAAACGAGGATTCAGGGTGAATGGGGGAAAAGGGCCAAATGGGAAGAGTGCAGTAAGGGAGGGATAAAACATCATAGCACATGCTCTTGCCCAGACTCTGCACGAAGGTTCCACTGGACTGAATGAATTTGGGGGACGAGGGTGGGGGTTCCGGGGGGGGGAGAGGGTGGAGTAGAGAGGAGAGGCGAGGGACATCCAGATGCGGTGCAGAGGAATGCATCGTATACGTAGCTCAGTCCACTTTGCATGTGCGCTCTCATCTTCATAAATGAGATTAGGTAAGCTCAGTGCTTGCTGCTGCTCATAATTCCCCCTCATAACTCACACAATCCCCCATTCATAACTCCCTTCTTCCCGTCATGCTCTTGGGTACGGCTCAAAAGGTCACGCCCCCCCTCACGTCAACTCACTGCCAATGATGGAGTTGAGGTCGCTCGGGTCTGCCCCCATCAGCTCTGCGTCTGCCGCCTCACTCGCGTTTGTCACAAAGCGCACACAAAAATCTTCTGCTGCCTGCTCCCGGACCACCGTAGCGCACAGAAAGTTAGCATATAACGATTAGACAAAAATAAGGCTACGGATGTGCATTCCCATTTCCCCAAGTACCTCTTGGGACGGTTGCTGGATTTCGCTAGCATAGAATACTCGCACGCGAAAGTCGTGCAGGCGGTACGAATGCTCGCCCGCCGTGCGCACGGGCACTGCAGGAGAGGTGGCGCGAGGGGAGGAAGCGGGAGCGCGACAGGAAAGGGGATGAGGGAGTGAGACGTGAATGATGCCTGATGAGGCGTGGGATCTTAACAAAGTCGGCGCAGTCAGGATACAGTAGAAGGGAGGGGGATGCCAGTCATCGTCGACATGGAAAAGCACGTTAGCGCGCACCGATTAACAGCGAGATTGGAATCTCACCGTTGAGGTTGGAGAACTCGCAGTGCGGGCGGAGCAGGTCGACGAAGCTCAGCGCGTTCTTCTGGCAGGCAGCCTCAGCGGCGGCGGTCGAGAGCACCATGAGCGCGGGGCACATGCGCTCACGGAGGCTCTCCCCCAGCATCGACCGCTCCATGCTGCTGCGCTGGTACCCTGACCCGCCCCGCGTCATCGGCGCTCCTGTTAAAAGATCCATAGTGAGACGGACTAAGGCGGTGACTCGGTGCTAAGGATTCTCACGAATGAGCACACACGCTGGGGGCAAGTGGCTGCTGGCGCGCCTTCACTTCACTGTAATATTGTGCGGACTGAATCTACCATTCATCCTCACGAGGATGTGAAAGGAACATGCTTTTGCAAAAGAGAGGGCGTCTCGATGTTAGCACGCGCGGTAAGAAAAGAATGACCTGAAAGGAAACAAATCGTACACATGAACTGTGCTGTACTCACAAAAGTGAACAAATTTCCTCCAATCACTCCTCAATCCTCCCCGTCCCCCCCGCCACTTCCACCACCACGTCGCCCCTGTCGGCAAGGATTATCAGTCGTCTTGACTGCTTGCATTCCCTCCACTCCACTGAAATGTCACTTCCGAACCAATCCCCATGTTTTCGCCGCCACCAACGTTCACCCTCCCCAGACAACCGCGACGGCCATGGCAGAGCCACCAGAGCTCACTCCAGGTCCCGCCGCAAAGCCCGCCGCAGGGTTTGCCGCAGGACCAGCCGGAGAGGCTGTCGCGGCTCAGCCCGCAGAAACCGCTACAGGTCTAACGGCCATGTCCGTAGCTAGTATGCCGCCGAGTGTGGTATCCATGGCTTTAAACAAACCCACCGTTCATATTCCTTCCCGTCTCCGCATGGCCCCGCAGCAGCATAACCACCCTCACCAGCTAGAGGAAGACCAACTGCGGGAACCACAGTCGAGGACCGAAACTAAAAGAAAGAGAATTTTCTGGCTGACGTCCCTGGGCTCTCTGCTTGGCCGCAAGGTGGCGGAGCTGCTCTGGCCGTCGCTACGCCACTTTGCTTTGGGGCTGCTGGTCGATGCTCTTGGCTTCTCCATTGGGCTGGCCACTTCTCTCGTGATCGGATGTAGGCTTCTGGACAAGCGGCGGTCGTTTGAAGTCAGCACTCCCCAAGTAAAGCATTTAAATTGGTCCGAAATGCAGGGCAATTGCAAGAGCATTCAGATGCTACGTGAATGTTGCATTCTTCCTGCATCAGCGGGTAATGCACTGCTGCTTACTACGTGTCTAAGAAAACTTTTGAGTCGACTCAAAAGTCATCTCGCTCCGTGAATGTTGCATTCGTCCTGCATCAGCGGGTAATGCACTGCTGCTTACCACGTGTCTAAGAAATTGCTCTTGCTGCAGGTCCGGCGGGTGCTAGCAGTTACAGACGAGGATCACTTGGATCGGCTCCGAGGCTCTCTGCCAGGCTGGGTGAAAGACCCTGGCTTAGAGCCGGCTCGCTGGCTGAACCATGTGATAGCGCGATTCTGGCATGTGCTGAATCCCGCACTCAGCAAAATCTTCGTGGAAAAGCTGTGGCCGGTGAGTCCTGCGTCCAGATACCCAGCTCCTGTTGCTCTGACATGAGAGTAAGGAACTTAACTCTAGGGTTGTGTCTGCTACATGCAAGCGCAATTACTACGCACCTACTTCAGAGTTTCAGCAGATGCACCAGCAAAAGATGATGCGATCTTGTCTCTTCCCACCAGGCCATTTGCAGGCATAAACGATTTCCGGACAACTTGCTTCAAATTGAGGACTTCTCGTTCGGGTCGTTCCCCCTGGTAGTGGAGTATGTCAAGGTGCGCAGTGATGAGTTCAGCGTTGGGTTGCTCAATAGCCAGGATGAACAGGCTCTGTCACATTTCGTTTCTTCAGCCCCAAAGATTCCACCCTTAATGTCATGTATCGGTTGGACCTTCCACAAAGCACTTGACTCTTGCTGTCCCTCGAAACTTCTCCTCATCCCCTCTTTCCTTTCATCCCTTATCACTCACCGAGGGAAGCAGATGGTCGAATCTCATGAGTCTGCAGCCGTGCTTGACCTCAAGGTGCACCTTGCCACGAACTCCAACGCAAGGGCCATCTTGACTTTGCCAGGGAGTGTGCTGAGACTTCCAGCAGTCGAAGAAAACGATGACTGCTCATCCACCTTGCACCTCTCTCAATTCGTGGGGAGAGCAGTCTTGCGCGTGTCGTTCGCTCCATTGGTTCCCAAATTCCCTTGCTTTGGGAACGTCCACTTCTCTTTCCTCGAAAGTGTAAGACAACAGGAGCTCGTAACCACTTTGCAGACTCATGACCGTCCACTCGAGAACATTGAAGCCATGCTGATTCCATGCCATTACCACATATCGTGTTTTGATGTCTTGATGCAGCCAGAACTGGACTTCTGTCTTTCCGCCTATGCGGGGCTTGACCTCATGTCACTTCCTGGCATCTCCGGCCTCTTGCACAAGAAGATCCAATCGGCTATTGCGGGTCACATGCTATGGCCAAGGCGCTTCACACTCCGCACAAAGGCAGCAGCAGTGACAACAGGTAGAACCAAGCGAGCAGTTGGTACCGTGACAGTGGAGGTAGTGGAGGCCACAGAGCTAACTCAAACAGGACTACTTCTGGCACAGAATATCCTGTATCCATCACCCTATGTCAAGGTGCGTTAGTGGATTGAAAGCTTGTTAGTTGCAACGAGAAAAAAAAAACTTATGGGAATGGATGACTATTTTTTTGCAGGCTTACATCGATCCAAGCCGTTCTGTGTCCACCGCCATTGAGTCCTACACCTGTGATCCGGTGTGGCGTGAGGTGCTTCGTCTGCCTGTGATCGATCAGGAGGCGGATGCCCTGACATTTGAGGTTCACGATGCGACAGCACTGCTGGTGGATAGTTTGATCGGCTCCTGTGTTCTTCACATCAGCAATCTGCAGCCAGGAATTTCGCAGGTATGTCCACTTGAAGAGACGTGTAGATGTTAGCTGCCTGGAACAACAAGTTTTGATCAGTTTGGAAGGTCTGCAAAGGGCTGTGTGCTGATATAATACAGGAGCTACTCACTGAAGCCATCTGTGTTCTTGCTGTCATTCCCTTCTGCAGCACTTCACGCTAGGTCTCTGGAGCAACCGGGGCCTGCCATGCGGTGAGCTGGAACTCATTGCAACCTTCAGAGTCCTGCAAAGCGAGACAATGCCGCGAAAGCTTTTATCGGAAGATGCAGTGCTCGCAAGACCTGGAATGCAACCGCGCCTGCAGCTTCATGCTGATGGGCCTGGCTTGCTGGAGGTGGCTGTGTGGAGAGGTTTGGATCTAGATGCAAGCAGCTGGCTGGGGAGAAACCCTGATGAAGCTCAATTCTTGTGCAAGGTGTTTCTTGCAGGAGAGGAGCGAGTGACCAAGGTGAGATTTCTCTGGGACCTGCTCATGATCCTCCAATTATTGTCCCTGGAGAGCTGCCTTGCCATGATTTTGTTTCTTTGAGTATGGCGATTTGTTTCCATGCTTGCAGGTTGCTGAAGGCAGGGGGAATCCACAGTGGGAAGAGTCGTTTGAATTTCTGCTTGATCAACCTCCAGTTACTGAAAAACTGCTGATCGAGGTGTGGAGTCGGAGCCCAGAAGCAATGCTGGTTGGTTCTGCAGAGAAGATGGTGGGTTCCGTGGAGATCCCTTTGTGTGATGCGCTGAAGAACAAACGCATTGTTGACATTTTCCAGCTCCATCACACAAAGCAGGGGTATTTAAAGTTGGAACTCCAGTGGCGCTTGCTTGCTGAAGCCAGCTGACAGGCTGAATGTTTTGGAAGTATCCTGCAGAAAATACTTGTGTTAGGTCAGGCATAAGTTATGTGAGCTTTCCAATAATAGGCAAACTTCACATTCTATGCGAAACGTGTGCCCCACTTGTGTGGACTTGAAGTATGAGGGTTTTCCTGACGTCAAACAATATGGTGCACAGGTACGGTACCGGTAGTTAAAGCCCGAGTATCACATGGCTGAATACCAAGTTTCCTGAACATGAAACAGGGTTAGCGAGAGGGAGCAAAAACCTTTTTCGTAGAACCAACCCTGGCGACGCACTCTCAGAGTCGCGAAATCAATCGTCACCTCGCCACACTCAGATTGGCCTGCTTCCCCCAGAGATGACCACCATTGCACGAAAATACTGTGTGCGACCATTCTGTCGCCTCGAATGATGCAGAAGCGCAGCCAATCAGCACCACCGAAAAAGAATACTCGCATCGCATCCAAACAGCGAGGGGGTATAGAGGGAATAGGGGGGTTACAGTCCGGTGAAGTGTTGAATTGAACCACCAAAACGAGTGGTAGGTAAACATTTGACACCAACCTCAATAGCGACCTAAAACACCTACAGCCTCGCAAAACGTGCTCGATGACGGAATCAACGCATAGCACGACTACCAACCTTGCTTGATAGTAGGCAGGTCACAGCACGAAATATTGTCGCGACGCGCTGGCACTAGGACGCCGCGTCGCAGGAGATGTCAACAGCTAAACGCGACGTTCAGGGCCTGAATGTAAGGAGCACGATTTGCCGAGAAGAGTAGTTGCGTTCCACAAAGTACGAGCATTATAGGGGTATTCTAGAGAGGAAAAGTTCATTTCGGGTGGGTCCTAACCATACGTAGACAATAGGAAAGGTCGGTAGAACCTTTACTACCTGCGGGTGTAACATCTACGGCCTGACTTGCAACAGTAATCTTCGACAGGGCGACCACGGGAATGCGCGAGGGAAAGGCCTAAACCGTTGCCGGTAGGGAGAAAGACGATAGGTGAACGGGATTCAAGGCCAACGTCCTGCACTACATTTTGTACATCGGCACCCAACTGTAAGAGACGATAAACGCAATCTTGAGCACCGGTTGTAGTGTTGTCTCACTCAAGCTGTAGTTTCAGTGGCTGTCGGCGGCATACACAGCTGTCGACGGACTGCTGAAGTCGAGCGTGTTGTCACCCTCTGTCGTAGCCACTGTCAGAGCCACGGTTCCAACCTGAGGTTCGTCCCGCATAACGCATGCGCGCCATCGCCCTGGTGCCTCAGCATGCGGCGTCACTGCTGTCCAAGTCACAGCATGCGGCGTCACTGCTGCCCAAGTCACAGCATGCGGCGTCACTGCTGTCCAAGTCACAGAATGCGGCGTC